CGGCAGCAAGGGGGAAGGGAAATTAACGGTGGCGGAAGGTCTCCCGAACATCCAAGCTGTCGCCGCCCGCCCACCCGAGGATGCAAGGGTGGGGGGGAAATTAAGTCACCCCCGAAAAGACGGCCTAGCCGGTTTTTCGGGGGTCAAAAAAAAATAAGGCCCGGTCTTATTATGTGAGAAACACGGTAGTATAAGTAGCTGGTAGCCATGAATTGCCTTTTCTCTTGGTAGAGAAAAGTTGAGATGCCTCTTGGGCTAGTCTTACAAGGATACATAATGTAAAAATAAATTAAGGATCCATGAAATAATTGCTTGTAAAAATGTAATTGTAGAAAAGACATTTAGTTAATGAAACTGTAATCGAAAAAGGTGACAGTTCATTTAGAACTGTTTCAAGATTTTTAAAAAATGCTGGGAGGCCCTAGTAAGATTTAGTGACCTATAAATGGAATACGTAAATGCTCCCATTTGACATAATTGCTATTGAATGTCTAGTTAACTGTTGGTTACAATGAAAATGGTTCCTGACTGGTAATAACTTTTTAAAAAACTATTTAGTTTATAGTTTATAAGCAATATTGTGCAGACTACAGATTTCCAAGATTTGATTTGTTATTAGACTCTTGAATTTTTCCCAGTTGGATGAAAAATGCAAAATATTAATTTGACAATTTGTTCTAATAGTTTAACAATTACATTCATATTCGTCATGCAGTTACAGTAATAATTTCATAAATATTACATAACATTTTCAGTATTAAGCTCAAAGATAGCCTGTTGTTACAGTAAATTATTCAAAATGTTGTTACAATTTATCCTTATAGAAGAGATATATTATTTGTCCTATAGAGCAGGGGTCCCCAACCGCCGGTCCGCGGACCGGTACCGGGCCGCGGAACAAGCCTTACCGGGCCGCTGGTTGCTGGGCGCCGCCATCTTTTTTTTGGTAAAAAAGCGCTTCTGGTGAGCTTTTCCGGGTAGAAAGCTCACCGGAAGCGCCTTTTCGTCATAAAAAGATGGCGGCGCCCAGTTGACGCCGGTACCGGGCCGCGGCGCCCAGCTGATGTCGGAACCGGGCCGCGGCGTCGAAAAGGTTGGGGATCCCTGCTATAGAGAACACTTGTACCGGCCACATCCCAGTAAGTACGGTAGGTGGGGCAAGACAAAGAAAAATTCTGAAGCAGTGTAACTTTAAATTACATATTAAAATAAGGAGTCAGTGTAGAAACCAGAAAACTGTAAACTCTAGGCTTCCCTTAGACGTGAATGGTGTTTTGAAAGGCCCTGAAGCCATGAAGTTTGCTAGTGGCCTGTGGCCACGGTGATATGGAGTGCATCAGCTAGCTAGTTTGATTGTTGTTGCCAGGGGCTTATTGGGTTTTATAGTTGATGTTTTATTTTTGTAAGCCACTGGAGTCACAGTGAGTGAGTTAGATGGCCATATAAAATGAATGAATGAATGCCAGCTAGGTGTCTTTGAACCAGTCACACTCTCTTGGCTCAACCCATCTCGCAGGGTTTTTGTGGGGCAAATAGGAGGCAGCAGTATTAGATATGTTTGCTGATTTGAGTTGACTATATAGAGGTGTGTGGAAGTGGGATGAGGAAATCTAATAACAGTTATTTTATTTTCCTCCTATGTCACCCTGAGACCCTGGATTGAAGGGTCTCAGAGAGTATACCAAAAAACTGCAAGTTGTGCACTGTTCCCCTTAAAAAATTGAATCTTCAAATTTCACTAGCCTTGGTTTGGTGGTGTATTAATTCTTATACTGAAGCTTGGAATGTCTCACCATAGATCTTAGTCTCAGTCATTGCTATTTGTTCAGAATTAGTATAGTCTCCATATGCCTCTAACTTGCCTGTCCCAATTTTAAATCTTTTTGCAGCTTGGACTTGTTTTATAGAAGTATTGAATTTATTTATGTTGTATTTTAACCACAGAAATAACAATATACTTATTTCTTAAATTTATTTTTTACTTTTGACAGTCGATTTATTTTGCACATTCCAAGTGAAGAACGAGACAATGCAATTCGAGTCTGTTTTCAGATTGAGCTTGCCCATTGGTTTTACCTGGATTTCTACATGCAGAACACACCAGGATTACCTCAGTGTGGGATAAGAGATTTTGCTAAAGCTGATATCCTTTCTATGTGATTTTGTTTAACATACAGATGATATTAAAATATAGGTAGGAAAAAGGTTGCATTGGAAATATATGCAAACCACCCAGAGTAGCTGAGAATCACGTGGCTTATAAATTTAACAATAATAATAACAATAACAACAACGATAAATTATACTTGCACCACAGAAATAGAAGCAGGGGATTACATCAGGACAAAGAAACAGTCAAGGAAGAAAAACATGCATTAGCTGATTATGTAAAAGATAGCTAAAAACAAGCACTGATGCAAATTAAAAATTGGAATTTAATGTACAGAAAACAAAACATCAAAATTATTTCATAAAAACATGAGATGAATGCTGATAAAAGTATTACATGGCCAATTTCTACAAAAGATCATGGGGAAAATGGATAAAGATAAAAACAGACGTCTTACAAATGGAACATTTAAAAAGAAACTGAAGGCTTGATTTTGGCTGCTCAAAAGCAAGCTATTTGAGTTAATGCAATCAAGATCAGAATGAAAAAAATCAAATGATTCAAAGTGCAGATTGTGCAAAGAAGTAGAAAAACAGTAGATCAGATACTTAGCTTCTGCAAGAAGGTTGCACAAACTGACTATAAACAGTGACAACGCAGTCATCAAATTAATTCACTGGAACATCAATAAAAATTATGTGCTATGAAAAATTGCTGAGAGTATATGGTTGAAAAAGTAGTTGAAAATGAGCAGATCAAAATATTGTGGGATTTCCAAATGCGAATAGATTAATTCTTGATGTGTATCACACCAGATTTAGCTATGATTGAAATAAAACTGAATAATTGCTGTGGCAATACCAGGGGATAGTAGAATAGAAGACAGAGTTGGGAAGATCACAAAGTATCAAGTTCTGAAAATTGAAAGATTATGCCATAACCTGGCAATAATTGGCACATTGGATGCCATACCAAAAAGCCTTGGACAACACTTAGAAAATCTGCGATTGACAGATTTTACATCTGTGAATTAAAAAAGGCTATACTGCTTGGATCTGCATGTATACTAACCTAATACATTAAACATCCTGGGTTCTTGGGCAGAACACTATGAAAGCCAGCACCAGCTAAAAAACTGTGATTTCACTTTTTTGTATATATATGGTAATGATAATAGCAGCAGTTCCCTTCAGGTATAGGGCAGGACGTAAACAAAGTGTGACCTCCAGGCTAAAAGTAATTGCTCACTCCTGCCATAAACATTTCAAAAAGCTGAGTTTATATATCAAAATAAACAACCACAACATATTGAACTTAACTATTGTTAAAGAAGATAGATTGCCTCTCCACTGAACTGAATCTGGAAATTTACTTTGTGGGAGCATCATGTGTATGTTGATGCTCTGGATTAAATGTAGTTGTAAATAATGGTCAATGTCTTTGGTATATTTGAATTAGAGAGTGCTAATTAGACAGTAAGGTGTTTTTGATTTCGTTGCATTTTAAAATTACGTAAGTCATGTTTCTAACTTCCCTGACCACAGGATTGGACTTCGTATTGTTGCACTCCAGTTTTCAGACAGATTTATTTTTTAAGTTGTATAATAATTATTTGCAGTAATAATTTGGAAATATAAAATAACATTAAAGGTATTTACAGATATGTAACATCTAGATAGTATAAATTGAAACAAGTAAACCAGTGTCAATACAATCAACACGCTAAAGTTTTGGCATGAAATTTAATGCTTTTGAAAAGAAAGGAGATGAGTATGTATCCCAAGGCTACTGAAAACCTGTTATCCTGCTAAGTGTTAAATTAATGCTTTATATAGCACAGTGTTATCTTGCTGGAAGAAAGAAAATGTTCCTGAATTCCTTGGAATGAAGTCTTATAACTTGAAAATTCAGAAACTGCATATTAATTTGGAGTCAATGCATATATTTTAGGACAGAATTCCTCAACCTTTTTGACTTCGTGAACTAGTGGGGGGGGGGGAGAAGAGGGGGTGATTCTGCATGTGTGGTGGGCAAACGTGTGCATCTGCAACTCCATTTGATCCCCTCTTCCCCCTTCGCCGTCCCATAAAGCTGCAATGGTTGAGGAACTTGAGTGACGATGTGTGTCTGTGTTTGCCCACCATTTCTGCAGCCCTATTCGAAAAGGCTCAAGGCCTGGTAGTGGGCCATGGCCCAGGAGTTGGGGTCCCTGTTTTAGGATATCACAATTCCATCAAACTTTTTTCTGTGACCTGATCTCTTATGCTGATTTCACCTGATTAATTAACCATGCATTTAGCACTTGAGAGACTAAGTCAGGGGTAGTACCCAACCTCCGAACTGTAGCCCACTACCAGGCCTTGAGCCTTTCAAAACAGGGCCACGGAATTGGCGAGTGAGCGTGTGAGTGTATGCATACATTCCCATTCATATGAGCAGTGGGTGGGTGCGTGTGTGCGCTCCAGCAGCCTTGTGTGCATGTGCCTGCTGCTTCTGCAGATGGAGCTGCATGTGTGGGCATTTGCCCATTGTGCATGCAAACCATCCCCTTCTCCCACCAATCCACAAAACCACAAAGGTTGGGGAACTCTGGTTTAGGAATACACTCCAGATTAAAATGCTTAATGCGGGAGTGCTTTATTCAGGAAGGCATTTCCCCAGGTTTATTAGGTTTATTACCTATTTTATACATTTATTCAAATAACCAGCTGTAAAATATATTTGCATTTTATGAAAATAATCGTAGTCTGGATTTGAAAACCCAGTGTTTTTGTGAAGATATTATAACTAGAAAAATATCAAAAAACTATTTCAATACCATAGGTTTATTAAGTTCTGCAACATATTTGTTAAAAAAGGAATAGGAATTTTTAAATAGGGAGATTATACTTTTTTATCATTTTCTGCTCTTATGGGTCAACAAAGGAGGTAGCAGAACCATTTTTTTTCTTAAAATTAAATTGCTCTAGTCAGCTTCATCTAAAAGCATTATTAAAGTATCCTTTGGTAACTATTGACGACTAAGGTAGATCTCACTTAATAATTGACCTGTTTAGTGGCCATTCAAAATAATGATAGCACTGAACAAGTAAAATTATGGTCAGTCCTCACATTTATGACCATCCCAGTGTCCCCAGGGTTACATGATTGACTTTCAGGCATTTCACGGTTGGAGAAGCCAGCAATAAAATTGCAGCTCATAGTCATGAGATCCTTTGTTTCATGACCTTGCTTAATCACAGAATGGGAAATGACATTGAAAACCCGTCAGAGTCACATGATGTTTCACTTAGTATCCCACTCTAAAATTGTTTACTGCCAGCTTTTTCATATTATAAACTTGATCATATTACATAGCTGGCTTTTGTTTACAGCTTAGTCTCAGTGGTTTTAAACATTGTTAAGGAATGTCTTGAGATTTTTAATGTTCTTATGGTTACTTAGAGCAGAGTTTCCCAACATTTAAACCCCTGTGGAATACATTTCAGAATGAGAGAAACTGCAGTTGAAATTATTGTAAAATGGTAGAATCTGGTCATTATTGTCTTTGTTGAAATTTTGAAGAGCTTGTTGAGAACAAATCACATACAGTTCTTTTTTTTTTTTTTTAAGAAAACAAAGAACATAAATTACTTTTGCATGAAACTCAGTAAACTAAATAAAAGGGTTGATAAATGCAAGGGGCTTCTGTTGAGGTAATTCCCCGTTAGGAGAATGAGCGCAAACAGGGAGACGTATTTGAGAGTAGTGTTTGAATAATACACACAGCACACAGATACATTGTACAGTAAATGTAGGTTTTTAATTCCAGAAACGTTAAGCAAAGTCCAAAATAGGCAGTCCAAAGTCATTCACAGGTAAATCAGTCAGTTTTTTCAATCCAGGGATAATTCAATATCAAATTCCAGTGTCAAAAACAGTTCAGTATCAGACTTACATTAAATCCAGTAATATCAGTCAATTAGAAGAAATGGAGGAACGGCAATACTTTCCAACAGAAGGAAACAGTGATACACTCACACTCTCTTCTGAGACTAAGGCTAAGACAAACCAGGTTTCTGGCTCCATCTTATGGCCGTTTGAGAAACCATACCTAATTACAGTTTTGCATTTTCTTAAAGATACAATTTTAAAATGTTTATCCTGGTTTATATATTTCTAACCCAAATACCTGTTAGGTGACTTACATTCCTAACAACTTCTGAGCATACACCTGGAGGTATTTGGGTCATGGGCAATAATAAGGAAATAAGAGTTAAGGGAAATTGTAACTTGTACAGATGACTAGGGCAAGTGACTCCACAGTCAGATGGATTTCCCAAATTGTTTTTAATTATAGACACTGAATCCTATCCAGTAAATGACTTAGCAAAAGAACTATTTTTTACTAAAGGCAGCATGCTGATAGGAAGAAAAAAGCAGTAGAAATGTGGTTTGAAGTTTTGAGGTGTGTTTTGGTCAATTAATTTCCTTGACTCCCTGTACTTTTCAGCCATTGTCCTTTTTTGCTTCCTCAAGGCGAAGATGTTCAGAAGGTTTTAGACGAATGGAAAGAGTACAAAATGGGAGTGCCAACTTATGGTGCAATCATTCTTGATGAGACCCTTGAAAATGTAAGGCATTTTCTTTTTAGCTTTGTTGAATAGAATTGACAGTAATTTAACTGTTGACTCTTAAAGGCAATTTTAAAAGCAGATCTTCCAAATACACACTGCTCAAAAAAATAAAGGGAACACAAAAATAAGACATCCTAGATCTGAATGAATGAAATATTCTTATTAAATACTTTGTTCATTACATAGTTGAATGTGCTGACAACAAAATCACACAAAAATTATCAATGGAAATCAAATTTAGCAATCCATGGAGGTCTGGATTTGGAGTTACACTCAAAATTAAAGTGGAAAAAAACACTACAGGCTGATCCAACTTTGATGTAAAGTCCTTAAAACAAGTCAAAATGAGGCTCAGTAGTGTGTGTGGCCTCCACATGCCTGTATGACCTCCCTACAACTCCTGGGCATGCTCCTGATGAGGTGGCGGATAGTCTCTTGAGGGATCTCCTCCCACACCTGGACTAAAGCATCCCCCAACTCCTGGACAGTCTGTGGTGCAACGTGGCGTTGGTGGATGGAGCGAGACATGATGTCCCAGATGTGCTCAATTGGATTCAGGTCTGAGGAGCGGGCGGGCCAGTCCATAGCACCAATGCCTTCGTCTTGCAGGAACTGCTGACACACTCCAGCCACATGAAGTCTAGCATTGTCTTGCATTAGGAGGAACCCAGGGCCAACCGCACCAGCATATGGTCTCACAAGGGGTCTGAGGATCTCATCTCGGTACCTAATGGCAGTCAGGCTACCTCTGGCGAGCACATGGAGGGCTGTGCGGCCCCCTAAAGAAATGCCACCCCACACCATTACTGACCCACTGCCAAACCGGTCATGCTGGAGGATGTTTCAGGCAGCAGAACGTTCTCCACGGCATCTCCAGACCCTGTCACATCTGTCACATGTGCTCAGTGTGAACCTGCTTTCATCTGTGAAGAGCACAGGGCGCCAGTGGCGAATTTGCCAATTTTGGTGTTCTCTGGCAAATGCCAAACGTCCTGCACGGTGTTGGGCTGTAAGCACAACCCCCACCTGTCGACGTCGGGCCCTCATACCACCCTCATGGAGTCTGTTTCTGACCATTTGAGCAGCCACATGCACATTTGTGGCCCGCTGGAGGTCATTTTTCAGGACTCTGGCAGTGCTCCTCCTATCCCTCCTTGCACAAAGGCGGAGGTAGCGGTCCTGATGCTGGGTTGTTGCCCTCCTACGGCCTCCTCCACGTCTCCTGATGTACTGGCCTGTCTCCTGGTAGCACCTCCATGCTCTGGACACTACGCTGACAGACACAGCAAACTTTCTTGCCACAGCTCGCATTGATGTGCCATCTTGGATGAGCTGCACTACCTGAGCCACTTGTGTGGGTTATAGACTCCGTCTCATGCTACCACTAGAGTGAAAGCACCGCCAGCATTCAAAAGTGACCACACCATCAGCCAAAAGCATAGGAACTGAGAAGTGGTCTGTGGTCACCACCTGCAGAACCACTCCTTTATTGGGGATGTCTTGCTAACTGCCTATGCTTTCCACCTGTTGTCTATTCCATTTGCACAACAGCATGTGAAATTGATTGTCAATCAGTGTTGCTACCTAAGTGGACAGTTTGATTTCACAGAAGTGTGATTGACTTGGAGTTACATTGTGTTGTTTAAGTGTTCCCTTTATTTTTTTGAGCAGTGTATTTCCCTACTGTTATAGAAGAGTGTGTATGTTATTGGTTTTGTTTCAATTTTTTTTACTTTAATTCAGGCTTTAGGATCAAACTCTTCTGTATTTTAAGCTGTTTGTCTATTTACCGTGAGTTGATTTTATAATCTTGATTGAATATTTATGTTTTGCAGGTGCTACTAGTTCAGGGTTATTTAGCAAAATCTGGCTGGGGTTTTCCAAAAGGAAAAGTGAATAAAGAGGAAGCTCCACATGACTGTGCTGCCAGAGAGGTGATTCTGTTTATTACATTGTTTGATATATTCCTGTCAAAGGATGGGAAAGAGATAAGAACTTTTATCCAGGCAAACATGCATTGTTATTTTTCAAATTGAAACTTTATAAATAATAACAGCATACATGTGATGACCCGGGGCATGGCACAGAGGTAACACAGGCAGCTGGCAGTTCAAGCCGCCCCTTTATTACTCCAAATTTCCCCAAATGCTTCCACATTTCTGGCAGGTCCCAGACCAAAGTGATCACACACAAACACACACCTCAAGCAGCCTCTGGCTGGAAATAGTCCAGCCCAACGCTGTGAGCACCATGGCTGCAAAGCAAGAAATCCAGCAGGGCAAGTTGAGATGTCCAGGAAGCAAAGGAGCAAGGGCAGAAATCCAGAAACAATGCAAGGAATCCAGAAAAGTTCAAACTCAACACTCCATCAATTCAGCATTTGTTCCTGACAAATGCCTCTCCCCACAGCGTTTTCTTAAGTCTCAGTTCCCAGGTGTGCCTTGTGAAGAGGGACGGGGCGCTTTCCTGGCCCTCCAAGGTCAAACACAACCCTGATGTGGCCCTCAATGAAATCGAGTTTGACACCCCTGATATAGGAGGTATAAAGAGGGGAAAATAACTTTTGGGCCTTTTAGAAAGCAGCACCTTAGTCAACATTATCTGCACTGATTCTTGGTCGGTCCTTTCCAATTCTTCAGTCCTTTTTGCCAGCCAATCAGCTTTACGGATCTCACTGATTCTGCAGGCCCTCAACTGTACAATCCTCCTTCCTCCTTTCTCCAACACTGTGCCTTTCCTCCAGCAGCTTCAGTTCTTGCTTCTTGATACACACAGTCCAGCACAACCACACCAACCAATCAACCAACAATTTCTTTTTTTTAGCAGCTCTGCCCTTTATAAATCTTCATTGGAAGGCAGGCATGTCTGCTTCTGCATGTCTTAATCTGAGGATATTCTTGCTGTCGGTGTGGCTCTTGTTAATGCAATTGACCAACTAGCAAAACTTCAGCCTTGGGGCTAAGTTACCACCCAGTCTCAGTCTTGGCAATTCATCCTGCTAATATCCAAGCATTTTAAATTGAAAAGATTTTTAGAATACATATATAATATCAGATTGGTATTGACTCCTTAGTAACTACATAAATACTGTATATTTTCTCAGGAATAGAACATGCATATTATATATTCTACATGCAATATAATTACACACTTTTCTACATTAAATAGATCCTAGTGCCTTTATTTGAGATGTGATTTATCTGTGTTCCAGGTTTCATTAATGCAAGTGATGACAAAGGGATAAAATAATTTCCAAACTTACCAAGTATTTTATGGTATTTGTTTATTCCTAGTTGATCAAAATTTCCTGGGAGATACTATGTTATTATGTCCATGTAGAGTTAAGTAATAAGAGCAAGCGAAAAGTGGTGTCTAATCAGAGGCAATCGCATTTCCCTTCTCCAGAAGCCATCACTGGAAATGACAGTTGGTAGTTCTGCTCATATCTTTTTTGCTTTCTTAAAGCTGTAGTAAAGAATTATAATTTTAGTCAGACAACATCATAATCAAGCCAGCAAATTTTTATAGCAAAAGTCTGAATCAGATTTCTTATTTTTTCAACTTTATAAAACATAAATTTTATTCTAATCTTATCCTTTTTCAGGTATTTGAAGAAACCGGTTTTGATATAAAAGATTTTATTAATAAAGATGACTATATTGAATTAAGAATCAATGATCAGCTAGCACGATTGTATATCATCCCGGGAATTCCAAAGGACACAAAATTTAATCCTAAAACAAGAAGAGAGATTCGGGTAAATCTATCTTTCAACTATAATTGAATGCTCAGATACTAAGCAATTAATTATATTGTAAGATTATTGAGGAATATCATGCATTTTGATATAAACCTTTATGATATTTACATTAGGTGTGCCCAAATTGTAGAAATCTGGATGATCATTATGTGGGAGCAAAGAGTTGTAGTAGTTAGAGTTTTTACAATCCAGGTCTGATACTTTTTCCTTATGTAAAATTATTATTTTCTTAGGCAGAGAAATGCAAGGTAAACTGTTTTCAGAGCCCTGCTGCCTTCAAGTAACTAGAGCAGGAGATAGGAAAGATTAACCTTGTTTTTAATCTTTGTCCTTGTTATTTTCTTTTTCTTTTGTCATATTACCTTTGGGAGAGAACTGAAATCTGCTAACTGTAAACTCGAATAATGAAATGTGCTGATTTGGGAATGTGCTAGTAGACCAAAGAATCATATCTTTGATCTATTCCTGATATAACTGAACTGCCTCTATCATCAACAAAGGATACCACTACCAGTATTTTATATTCACGGAGCTTCCTAAAGTATATTCAGATGGTCCTCAATGAATATGTTGGCAATGATTTCTACTTCTGAAGTGGCACTTTCATCTCATCCAGTTCCAAGATTCACTGAAATAAATTTGCTTACCTGGTACAATATTTATGTATTAAACAAATTTGTATAGCTATCCATCTCACCAAAAGCGATTCTGAGTGGCATACAACAGTTGAGTAAAACAACAGATACTTATTTTTTAACATGAAATTTTATATTTTTACATTATAAAAATTAGTATGCAAACCTTGGGCAGAGAAAGGATAAGAATGGCCACCTCAACAAAGGAGCCATCAAATAATTTCTCTGGTTCCCTGGGAGCCCCAGGCCTGACAACATTACCAGGCCTTGAGGGACTTCCAAAGTGTCAAACGGATGGAGCTAATTTAATTTTGGAGGAAAGCACATTCCATAACGGGGGAGGGCACCATGGCAGAGAAGGCACTTCTCCTGGGACCCATCCAATGTATTGGTAAGTCCCTAACTGATTGCACCTGCAGCATGCCTTCTCTGCCCGATTTAAGGAAGTGGGCTGATGTGGTCAAGCGGAGAGAGGTGGTCACTCAGATAGCCCAGTCCCATGCATGAAGGACTTTAAAGGTTAAAACCAGCACCTTGAATTGGACCTGGAAGCAAATTGGCAGCCACTGCAGCTTGCGGAGCAGAAATGTAAAATATGTTGTTCTGAGGGGTGCATATGCCCATGCCACTGCATTCTGCATCAGCTGAGGCCTCTGGATATTCTTCTAGGGCAAATTCATGTAGAATGCATTTCAGCAGTCCAATCTCGAGGGATTATTCATTTATTTTAATAAAGCCATACTCACTAGAGATAAATGTTGTAGTGGCACATTATTTGCAAACAGTAGGTAAGAGAACATGAGGAAGAGACAAGAATAATTCTAAATGTTGGTGAAATCATTTTGTAGTAGCCTTTTGTTTACATTACAGGTAGTCCTTGTTCAGTGACCACTCAAAGTTATAATCGTGCTGAAAGTTGCAGTTGTCACAGTGTCCCGTGGTCATGTGATCGCGATTCAGGTGCTTGGCAACTGTTGCACAATTATGACAGTCAGTGTCCCTTGGTCACATGATTGCCATTTGCAGTCTAACTGCTGGTTTCGGATAATCAAAGTCAATGGGAAAGCTGCCAGTAAGTCACCAGTTGAAGTCGTATTATGTCATGCATAATTTGCTTAACAGCTGGAACTGGAACTGATATAAGTTCCATTATAAGTTGGGGTGGCCATATGATTTTTCATTTTATAACCGTGTTGCTTCATAATGGAGTTGCCAATCCCAGTTACCAGTTGTTAACTGAGGACTACCTGTATTTACCATATTTGCACATTTCATTATAAAGAATTCAAATTATGTTTTGTGATAGAAAAGCTTCCTAAAGATATGCTTTATTTCTTGATTAGAAGGTTAATGGGAGTGATTATTTCTATCGTATCTGTAAAATGTTAAGTAATCTCTTTTCTGTGTTTCAGAACATTGAATGGTTTTCAATTGATAAATTGCCTTGCCATAGAAATGACATGACACCGAAGTCGAAACTAGGTTTGGCACCTAACAAGTTTTTTATGACCATTCCCTTCATCAGGTTCGTTCAAAATGAAAGAAATATATCTGTTATGTTCCATTTCTGTATTGAAGATTTTAAGGGTGGGGTTTTGAAATCATGCTTCAAAAATCAATATTGCTATTCTAATTAACTCTTTACAGACCCTTAAGAGACTGGCTTTCTCGGCGGTATGGAGACTCTTCAGATAGTGACAATGGGTTCTCATCTGCCAGTAGCAGCACACCACCTAAATGCAATATAGAAAAACAGAGGTAACTGATTGTTGAAACTTGCTAATTGCTTTCAAATGGAGGGCAAATGGGGTTTATTTCTGAAAATGAAATGAATAATAATAGTTTAAGACATGAGTTACCTGATGTAATTTATCTGCTTTCCCAATCCTGATGCCTTTTGGATACATTGCATTTTCAGATTGCTATAATTGATCATGTTTACTAAATACTGATGATGATCATGATAATAATGATTCCCTTGCCTAACATAGCTATTTACCATGCTGATGAGAAATTGTAGAGTTTCTCTAACAACATTAGAAAGTATTATCTTTCCTGTTCCATTCTTAAATGTAGGGATATAAAAATTGTGATGCAGTTTTTCATTATTAATAAAAAGTTAACAAATATGGGTGCAAGATGTTTTCATTTTTGCACAGCTCTAATATTTAATATTCAGTAGGTAAATGAGGAATATGTTGTACGGTGAGCCAAAAAGAACGGTGAAATTTAACAAGGAAAAAGGCATCTAGAAAGAAAAACTGAAAGGCATGAGTATAGGCTGGGGGATACTAGTACATGTGAAAAGGATGTGTGTATTTTAGTAGATTATGAGTTGAGTATGAGCTAGCAATATGATATAGCTGCTAAGAAAGCAAATATTTTGAAACATATCAAGAAGCACAGAGTCCAGATTATGGAAAGTAATTTTCTCATTCTAGTCTATTCAGGCCTCACTTGGAATACTTACTGTGTCTGGATATTGGCTGTTTTTCCATTTTTCAGTGCCTTTGGAACAAAGCAAAAATGGTCTGAAAAGAAATTTAATATGCTGTTAAATGACTATTTGATAGAATAGTCTTATTAATGCAGTTGTATTGTATAATTATAATTGTGTTCTGGACTTTTCTAAAAAATTGTTTTTAATGAATTAGATCCAAACTCCATTACAGTCAGCAGGTGTTTACAGATACACCCATGGGAGACCAATCAACAAGGCAGAGGCAATTACAGCAACAAAAGCCATATAACAATCATTTGGAGATGCCTGAAGCTTTAAAACTAAAGGTGAGTTTCTATTAAAAATTGTTATTATTAGATCAGGTTTGATAAGAATTGTGTTCTATGTTTTAAACATTTTTTAAACTTCTTGAACTTCTCAGATCCTTACCTTTTAAATGGAGCAAGATATTGTTTACAATAAACTAAACATATTAATTGGTGAACAACTGAGAACCCTTGGACTAGAGGGGTTGCTGCCCCCTTTATTGGATGTCAGTTTTGGGTGGTTTACTGGGTTTGTCATCTTGCTTTTTTGTCTGAGTTTGATTCTGTTATTTTCCGATGTCTGTTACATTGTTTTGCTGTGTTGTTACCTGCTCAGGCTCATTTAGAGTTGCGCAGCATCAAATCAATCAATGAAAGTAAATAAATATATTTTGCTAAATTAGATGTATTTTGTTATAAACATAAATATATTTTACAACTAAACGTTTTCAGTTGAATGCTGTCCTTGGTTCATTTGTTGTTGTTGCTGCATTACTTGCTTAGAATGCACGAGGCAATGGCAAAAAGCAGTATCAAGATATTCCTAATCAAAAAAAGAGAACAAATGGAGTTCAGAATCAGCCTGCCAAACAGAACCAAACTTTGGTAAGATGCACAAAGGTAAATGCAAATGGGAAAGCACTTTGAATTGGAATTTGGAATAATTTTTGCATTAAGCACTGTGTGCTAGTGACATCTACTGGGTGCCCAGCAGTGGCTCTGGAAATCAATGCTTTGATTGCTGAGATAGCTTGTGACATAAAATAAACCTGTGTATTCAGCTCTCTCTGTTGGCAAACAAAGTTTTTGATCTCAATAGGTAGCTTTTGGATATTGCTATTCTTGAGGACTACCCCACCTTTTACCTGGGCTTGATAGGAAAAATGGGGAATGTGCTCTGTTAATATCCCCTGAGAATGTTAGATGTGTTGAGAATATCTTGCAGTCATTCTGTAATAGTTTTTTTTGCAGTCTTGTTAGGCTGCTGCATAAAATAGTGGTGTAGGAGCATTGATTATTAGTGAGTAATATATTTTTAAGTTAGCTAGGAAGAGTCCTGCAGCATGAAAGGCTATTGGATAATTTTGTTTTTTGGCAGCATATTTGGTTAAATGTTCTTTGGTTATGGTAGGTCTGCCATAACTTTTCTGTCATCTGAAAAAGAACTCTTCCTCCTCCTTCTCCCCATCAAATAGGAAGAGCTAATGGAAATTGAAAAAGTTCATGTTTTGGTTGAGTCAAAGGGAAGATTAAAGAGGAAGTGAAGAGTAAAAAGGAAGGGCTACTCTCTACAGTAACTACAAGAGAGTACAATGTACAAAGTACAAAGTAACTACAAGTACAATGCAATTTGTGGGACTTCAAATTAAAGTCTTTAAGACTATGATTGCGGGAGAAGTAAAAGAGCAAAGACACTTGACAATGTAATTCAGACTGTATTTTGAAGAATACCTGTTAGAAACTGTTTTCTGGGCAAGTGAGTAAATCTGATTTTCCACTTGTCTGAATTTTGTGATATATTTATTAGCTCCAAAAATATACAGATTGGCATATGTGTTTGTTTGAATGGAGTGTTTAAAATGTACCATTAGAAGGACAACTTATTTAAAAATAAGTATTCATTTTCTTATAAATAAAAAACAAAAATGGAATGATTTAGGAGCTCATAGAAAATCGGCTTAGCAAAAAACAACAACACACCCCATAATTACTAATTGAGAGAGGGACTGGCCCAAAGTCACCCAGCTGACTTTCATGGCTAAGGCTGTTTTCTGATTTCTAGCCTAGTGCCTTAACCACCAGACCAATCTGTCTCTGTTTTTCTTTTTAGTTTTGTCTGCTTAAAAGCACTTCGTTAGAAGGTGCATCATATACAGAATTTGGAGATACAGATAATAAAATGCACAATGCACTTAAATTTAAGCAAATGCTTCATTTTTTAAAATGATCCTCTGTTTAGGAATGAAAATGTTTATATTTTTTGGTTGGGTCACAAATTTTGTTTTCCAAAAATTGTTTAATGTTGATTATCTTCTTAACTAGAAATGTGAAAAGAAGCATCCAAGAAAGCTTCAAGATAATTTTGAAACAGGTATGTGTGATTATATTACTTTAGACCAGGGTGTCAAACTCAAGGCCTGGGGGCTGGATCCAACCCAAGGGGTGCTCACCCTAGAAATAGCAAAGGAATGGCCTGCAGTGCCTTTGCGAGTGAAACCGGAACTCCATGCCTGCCTGGGCTCCATTTTCAGCCGCAATAGCCTCCTGCAGCCCTCTGCCAGCGAACACAGAGCCCAGGCAGCCTCCCTGAGCTCTATTTTTGCTGGCAAAAGGCTGCAGGAGGCCATTGCAGCCAAAAATGGAGCCTTGATGAGTGACGTTGAGCTGGCCACACCCACCCTGACCATGCCCCCCCCCCCGGCCAACACCCCCCCTCAAGGTCATACACAATCCTGATGCAGCCCTCAATGAAATTGAGTTTGACACCTCTGCTTTAGACAATGCAGAATGTAAAAATAAAGGTATTTACCATTTATATTTCAGTACATGTTACTTATTTGTTAATCAGTAAATAACTTTGTATAAACCTTAGTTTAAATGTCTGAGATTAGAGCTCTATAATTTACAGTGCCCAATCTAGCAAAATCTTTGCTTGTGTCAGTGTCCTATGAACAGGGAAAACTAAATCCCTGCCCTCATCATTATAGTTATATAGTAATTTCCTAAAGGAAGATTAAATAACAGTTTAAATAGTTTCGATTTGATAGTGCTAAAAAGAGTATGGAAAGGGTTCGAGGGAGCATGGTTTGTTTTTAGTGTATATTGCAGCACTGTACCCAGTTTTATTAGCCTGAAGTGGTTTCTGAATAGAGTACTGTATTTCGATATTATAATTTCTTTTAAAAAAAGAATTTATAACTTTTCAAAGTGTAAATTCTGAGAAAAGCTGTAAAGTTTAACATTACTTTAGTGATGCTTATGTTCCTTTATTTGAGAGCAAGTTTACAAATTCTGCAAGCTACCGTTATGAGAAAATGGCTGTTGTGTATACTTTAGATGTTAGTGATCACAGTCTTACTAAAGATGTCGCAAACCTATGGTGGAGTCACTGCTTATTCTGAAGATTAGTAATAAATGTTAAGTTGGAAGATAGGGATTTAAAGGATGAACAGGAGACAATCTTGGAACAAAGGCCATTGCCATTTAGAACTGCTTTGCCTAAGGTAGCTTTCTCCAATCTGCTGCCCCTACTGAATTCAGTTTTATTAGCTTATAAAACCATATAACTATAATTGAATTTTTAGTTCCCGTCCTGTCCAATTTTTAAATTAGCGAATGTCTAAGAAATATGTACTACATATTTGAAGTTTTATTAAAGGGTTGTATGAGATTATTTTGACTCTTGTCACTCACTGCTAAATTCTTTATTTTTTTAAATGTAGAAACAGCGTGTGATTTGTGCTGTCTCACTGAAGACCAGCAACTAGAACGTGGACAATCGGTGTCATGCAATGGCCATTGCAAATTCTCTTTCTCCTCACGTGCTTTTCTGAGCTTCAAGTTTGACCATGATGCGATCATGAAAAATTTTGACCTCTGAAGCTTGGTTATTTGCACAAGCTGACTAGAGTCCTGGCACAGAGCAATTGAGTGGGTTTTTAAAATCCAACTTTTACATTTTCTCAGGTTTTAAAGCAATGCAGGGACCTAGTGGTGGACTGGAAGGTTTTGTTCTCATTGTAATATGGGAGTAGCACCATATAGTGTTGCACTTTAAATGCAGTCTAGCTTTTACCTGCAAAAATGCTTTCCAATATATCATTTAGTAGTTCCTAGCTATGCATTAGTGGGCATTTTTAACTCATTTGTTGTCTGTCTAGATTTTGGAGGAGTATTTTACCTTTGCCTGTGTTAACCTTTTACACATTTAAATTGCTCTGATGTATGATAATGGTTTTATTTGTGATACTTTGTGATACAGCTGCTGAAAACATACAGATTTTCTGAAGAGAACAATATTCTGTACTGAGCAAGAAGCTAGGTGTTTTATGATTCAGAATGTTGAAAAACAACCTTTTGTTCTGAGAGAATCGTTCTGCCTGGGATCTTATATCATTCAAATCAATTTATTTTCCACATCTTCATTGTTGCACTGTATTGGAACTTTTTAAAAATATAGGCATGATTTAAATTGTATTACTAGTGTGATATTTTATCTTACTTTCTATTCAGTAGTTGCATTGTTTCATCTCCAGTGAGAAGATGGTGGTGATATTGGAATGTGTCTAATATAACTTTTACTGTTCCCCATGTGTGAAATGTCTAAATTGTTTCTAACCAGAATTATAGGTATTTTGAAAAATAAAATATGAAAATGTATGTTTAGGGAGTTAATTGTAGCAGATAGAATAAATTAGTTTTGGAAATAGTACAAAGAAAACTAACAACAACATTATATGAAATTACATGGCTTATTGCTTCTGTGGGATCCAAACTAAGGAAAAAATACTCCAGCCAATCTCAAAGCCCTATTAGTTACACTGCTTCTGGCAAAAGTTTCATGGATGGTCTGAGGAAGCTTTCTAGTTTAATGGAGCTATAGAGTTTAAAATCTCCTCCAAAAAGTAGCACAAGAGGGAATTAACTATGCCTGCCAATATCAGATTGGCAGAACAGATAGCCTGAATCAGGAAAAAGGAGCATCATTGAAAAGCTGGTCCTTTCCCCCCCTCGGAACACCAGATGTTGAGACTGTGCCATTTACTGCCTGTAGGAACACCACCAGTTGACATAGAAGGGTTTCCACAGTAATGGAATTGTTGGCAGAAGGGCACCATCACCCTATGCTAATCCCTTCCTTCATACAAGAACAAGGGCTTTTGTTAGGTTTCTACCATTTTATTTCAGTATTTTGGTCTGACTTAAAATTGAGTTTGATTTCAGAGTATTAGCTCAAAAATGCTTTGTGCTACATCAGTGTAAACATGGAACAAAATAGCAACAATCAATAAAACCTGAACTTAAAGTCCTAGCCCAAAATACACTGATGGAATGCATGTAAATACAGATTGTATAAAAACCTCTACTGGATTTTGTTTCCTCAGTGCTCTAGCCGTATTGTGACAGTTTGGATTCACAGTATTCACTTAGATTTCTGAAATTTAATTAGAATAGGCTTGAAAGTTAAGCATAGCCCATTTGCTTGCAAAATTCCTGCAACATATAACTACCCTTGTTAAAGGATCATACAGTGAAATTTATATATAAGTACCATATTGTAAGCCTTCTTCATAACAGCAAAATAGGTGCAGACTAATTTCCAAGTAAGTTCAGTTTTCTTTATTGATCATTTTGTAAATAATTGAATTAGAGACTAACCTAATGGCTATATGCCTGCTTTCTGCATCCACATTTATTCATAACATGAAGTTAATGGAATTTGCATATCTGTTAAAAGTAAGATAGTTGAAACACTGGTGATGAAGATGCCATATTCTTTTGTTTAATCTTCATCTGTGAAAATAACTTTTTGGTCAGTATTTAACGTAGGTTGAATCTTGTAGTGCCTAATTTACTAACTTCTCAATCATTGAAAATTGGATTTTCAGGCTGCTAGTGCCAATATTCTTCTGATTTCCAGAAATGTTACTGTTTTATGCTGCTTCCTTTGTGTGATGCCATTAATAAGAGGAACTTTGGCAGTTATCTGTATTTTGAATATGAGGTGCTTAAGTGATATACTAGCAATGTGAGATTAATTTTCCTAGCTAAAGTAACTTTTATAGGGCACACATTCTTTGCTTTTGAATATAGACAGTGTTTTCTGTTTTGCAGAGAATAATTTCTTAAGAAAATCCAGTGTCTGACTACTACTTTGTTGATGGCTTCCCAGGGACTCTAAAATACTAATTTTGGTTTATTAACCTAGCCTTAATACAGGTTGCAAATTAACATAGTAACATGTGCAATAATTATCTCTTTTACTGGATATTATATAGCACATGACTATATTTCTTAATTTGACCCTATCATGTATATGGTGTTCAAGAATGGAAAATAATGTAGTAGTTCCTGGGTGCCCTGCACTGTGAACATTTCAGATTGTTTACCTCTTTGGTTAGTAATTATGCTTTTATTTTTTGCAAAGAGCTTAAATATTATACCCACATATTCCAAAATGCAGGCATATGGTTTTCTTAGGTATCTATATAACAGTGAAATAAAAAAACAATTCATTGGTTATAACTGATTCTTGTTTTCTCTAATGGGTAATTTTAAAGGATTAAAAATAAATGATCTGTGAATGGGTCTGAATTCATCTCCATTAAAAAAAATACTGCTTGACTGTTTGATTCTGCACTGCTGTTTAGCAGAGGACATTGCAATTAGTAATTTGCCTTACTTAATTGAATTACTAAGTATGTCCACTTGAATCTTTTAAGATCAAGTTAAGTCTGCTATAAAAATGTAGACTGTAAAGTAATCTTTAGGGAGTGTTTTCAATATGTATGCTTAGTAAAGGTGATTCATTCTTAACCTTTGTCTAATCTTAGGGATTTATTTTGTGTGGCATGAAGTTTCATATCTTTAGATGCTTTTGAAATGTTCAGATTGAAAGAAATATTCCAGCTTCAATTGTTCATTTTTCCCCTGGATTTATTAGCTAAATTTAAGCAGAATTTTAATAGATTTGTTATACAATTGTGCATGTTTGTTTCAGTATAAACTTAGATTTTGTTTCCAAGGCTGTCCAATATATAATGTATGTATCACACAGTCGAGTGATGTATTAATATAACCTTTTATCCAGTTTTTGGTTATTATCACAAAGTAGCAAGTGCCGAATGAGTTAATGAATATGTGCTTAAAGCAGACATTTTTAATCTAGAAGTGATAGATAGTGTAAGTGCCTATCTTTCTTTTTTTTCATTGCTGCCTGCCTGAAATTGATCAATGACATTCTTTCTGTTTGGTAGCAGTGTTGCCTCAGATGCTATTTTAAATTTCAGATCAAATACTTTGTGATCTTTTTCTGGTTAGATGTGTAGACTCTGATTTTCCTATGCTAGATCAAGTATGTGGAACATGGATATTTTTGTAGCTATTAATCATGAAGCTCTCAGTTCAGATGTTCTGCTCCTGCTTTGTTATATTTGAATTCTTATACATACGTTTAATCATGTGCTGTACTGTGAAGGCTTCCTTATAGGAAAGCTGCCTATTACTAAAACCGAAATTCGGCATTCTTTTTCAAGAAGCAGGAATTTGACTTAAACTGCTACTATATGCTGAAAACACTGATGGATGCAAAATGTCCCCAATGCTTATATTCAGTATACATTTCATTTGTTCTTCCAAGTATGTTTGTCAGAAATGATGCAAGAAGATCCCATTTTTCTTACCTGATTCTTGAAAAGATCTGTGTTTTTATGGGTTTTGAAGCACACATCCAGCTTTTAGTATCAACAGAGAATCTATCTTTTGCTTCAGCGATCAGGATTCATCAATCATACTTGTTCCATACGTTCAAGATTTTGAACTTTCCTTAGGCAACAGTATCGCATACTAGACGGCAGTGATTTTTTTTAAAACCAAGGGATGTTTCCAAAGTAATTTTGTATGTGAAAAAAGTTTCTAATGCAGTTTTGTATGTGTGTGGGTGGGGTGGATGAAAATACTGCTGGACACATACAAGCTTTTTGATGTGATAAAAGTAATTATTTATAATTTGGTTAAGAAACACCATAAATATTAAAGAACTAAAATGAACCTGTAATTTTAGAAAAATAAACTGCATTTTGGGGTCCTGTTTTGAAATGAGTTTTTCTGAAGTTGTTAATGTAATTTAATGTTGTGTAAAAAAATAGCTTTTTGCAACATATTGTAAAATGTAAAATCATTTTTTCTATTGGTAAATCAGTTAAATAGTCCAGTGTCGTAAAATGAATATTCAGTATGCATTGTGGCTTATTTCTAGAAAATGTATTTTTTTTCCATAATGGCAGATATATAAGTGAAAATATAAATTTGATGTCCAAATTAGTTTTTCTTGACCAGTTTATTCTTTAAAGATCGATCTTAATTCATTGTAGTGAGTGGCCTCTCACCACATGCCTAAGGTGTTTTTATTTTTAAATAAAACAATAGTTAATGTTCACTGTTATATGGTATAAAAGAATGACACTGCAATAGTAATAGCTTGTTTTTGATGAGATGGCAATTAAAATTATAACCGAAAATGCAGTAGTAGTGGGTAACAACCCATTTGGGAATTTGAATTATTAGTTCACAGTGATCTAATATATTTGGTTTAAATATCTTTATTGCTTGACAAGACTTATGGAAGATTTGAGGCAATGGACACTGCAGATTTTTGCAATCATTAGTTTTTATTGTTTTACCATTTTTAATAGCAAGAAACTTTAGTTCTGACCAAAGTGAGGAACAATGGGTTGGTTAGCAGAGCATTTCTTCTATTATATGTTAGAGGATAGAATTTTTTTCCATTCATATTTTTAAAATAAACCAAGATTGTCTTTGAAATATAATAAAATGCCAAGTATCTACGGTGTATGGTTTTATATGTTCACCAAGATAATTTGTATTTTGAAAAGAACTATAAGAACGGGACTTGTGGTAACAATTTGAAATAGTATGTTTCTGAACTGTAGTATGTTGCTTGGACTTTATAACTGACATATTGCATAGAAACTGCAACTAACATTTATTTACATACAGTACATTAATATATATTAAATGATAGCAGTATTTAAATTGTAAACCACCCTCAAGCATTTTGCCCTTAACAGGGAATTTCAATGAACTTAGGTTGCATTGCCACCAGTGTCTTTATTACTTTCTGGATCTTCTTATATGTTTTCCATTTATATTTTTTAAAATAAATCAAGATCGTCTTCAAAATATAATCAGATGTCAAGTATATAATGTGTATGGTTTTGTGTGTTTACTGAGATGTACTTTGAAAAATAACAGCTATAATGTTGCTACATTTAGCTGAACTTGCTCAGAAATTTTCCTGGATTATGGACTTTTCTTTTTCAGGATTCTTGATTGCAAGATGCCTTCCTGCTCAAAAGGAAAATAGCATATTTTGCAATAAGATATACAATAGAAGCTATTTTTAAGCATTTTATCCAGTATTGGTTTAAAAAGTGCCATATTCTATATTGGGTGGCTAAATACATTTCTAAAATTTTTTGTTTTGTTAAATAAGAAATGCATTGATTATGCACAATTCTTATATGATATTAAACAATTTTCAGTCATAACAGTCATGTAAACAAATGTAAAGTAGAGGGTGATCTTAAGTTGGATATCCTCCAGCTGTGCAAATGTCAACCCTTAAAATTTCCAAGCCAATACTGAAGTCTGCATAGCTAGAATAGGCTATGGTAGTTAATGGTAGTATAGTGCAGTGGTCGCTAACCGGTGGGCCGTGAGAAAATTTTGGTGGGCCGCAGAGAAATCTCACCCCCAGAGCACCCCCACAAAGCAATTAATCCAGGCTGTGCAGAAACATAAGGCTGTGCTGCCCACATGGCCCACGGGAACCCTCACTGCCCACTCACTCCTTACCCGGTAAACGTGCCTGCTAAATTGCTATTTTTCCTTTTTCCGACCAGGTGTTCTGCTGTGGAGATTCAGATTAGCTAGGAAGCAGGAAATCGTTGGACTTCTTGCTTTCTGGATCTTTAGATCCGAATGATTCTGTGAGAAACTCGATCTGCCTGCCTGCTTTGCCTGATTTTGGGTAAAAGTTGCTCTTTTTTTAAATAAAAATTGAATATTTACATATATGGTGTGTTGTGAGTTAATTTTGTGAGTTTGCTTGCTAGCAAATTTTATGAGTTTGCTTGCAAGCAAATTTTATGTGACAGACTGAGCTAGCTAGCTAGATCTCTGAATGAATCTGATTCTGTGAGCAACTCAATCTGCCTGCCTGCTTTGCCTGATTTTGGGTAAAAGTTGCTCTTTTTTAATAAAAAAATCAATATTTATATAAATATTTATAATATTTACATACAAGCTATGCCCAGCCAGTCACATGACCACCAAGCCACACCCACAGAATGGGTTAGTGGTCCCTGGGATTTAAAATTATGAGTTTGGTGGTCTCTGAGGTCCAAAAGGTTGGCAATCTGGTATAGTGGTTCCAAGCGGTATGGAAACGGGAGCTATAAAACAGCAGTCTCCAACCTTTCCGGACTGGTGGTGGTGTAAGGGGGAGATAGCATGGTTTTGTGTGCGTGCACACACCGCTTTTACAAATGTAGTTTCACACCAATGCTCTCGCCCACAACTCCATGGCCCAGCACTGGAGACCCTTGCTATAAAATATTCCTACATATATAATAGCTTCAGCTTGAGAAACATTTTACAGCCCCCCCCAAAAAAATAATAATAATAATAATAATAATTCCGGGGCTTTTGACAAAAGGGCAAAATATATTAAAGTAATCTGTAAGAAAGAAGATTGAATGCCTTTTCAGCATTAAATTTTTATTCAGAATATAAGAACATTTATAAAAGTGTTATAAATGTCTCTGTATAAATAACTGGTTTGTACAATTCTATCAAATAAACACAAATGGCTATTTTACAGCTTCTAAAAAAACTTAGAAAAACCAATGAAAATGGTGGTTTTTCAACAAAAAATGGTCAATATAAACAGGAACAATACTGACATTTAATTTAAAAGTGTGCTTGCTCTGTTTTGTAAATAATACATTCGAGCTGATGTAAAAATCATGCCTTGAAAAAGTAACAAATAATATTCTGCACAATGATGCACCAATTCTAGAAGCCTGTTTTAACTGTAACTTATGAAATGAGCTTTTGCTTAATAGACAGAATGGATATTAACTGCATTACGATGGTGGATTTATTCTAGCATGTCTGCCAGCTTTCGCAAAACCAAGATACTAGATGCATCTGAAAGGTTTTGCTCAGGTAACGCCACTGATGGCATGCTGGAGGAGGTGCAGATTTCCCTTATCTCACATCATTTGGGAACTGCAGGAAGAAAATGCCAAGATTGCTGCATTCTTTTCATTTGGCATGATATGCTGGCTGAAAAGCCATCAATTCTCAAAGAATCCAATTTGCATACATTAAAATTAGGACTCTCCACCTAGCAGGTCAAAAACATGCAAATGTGAGATTAATAGGTACCACTGGTGGGAAGGTAACAGCGTTCCGTGCGCCTTTGGGGTATAGCCATACTGGCCACAAGACCACAGTGCTGGTTCCCTTGGCCAAGAAATGGAGATAAGCACTGTGCCCAGAGTCGGACATGACTACACAGGGAAATCTTTACCTTTAGAGTATCTCTGGCAAAAAAGATAGCAGTTAACCTTTCTGTATTTCACGCTGCCATCTGTTAGTCATGTGGATTGTTCTAATCCAGATGCAGTTGATCCAATTTGTGATTTTTTTTTGTTTTTAAACTTCATACTAAATATAATTATTTCTTATTCAGAGCCAACATGCTCAAGTGTGTCAAAATAAAGCACTGAAACTAGACTGGGTAGATTACTCAGTATCCTTTTAATGCTTGTTGAATCAATGCTACCATAGCCAAATTTGGAATGAAATACCGTGAAGGTTTGTAGTGAGCTGTTTTAAATTCACATTTTTTCATAACTCTACTGGGTTGTGAAGTAATGGTTTTATTTTATGTGTGCTGACAGTCACTTTTGCCTGTAGGGACAGAGAGGCTAGTCGGTATATTTTATCTATAGTATGTTCTGATCAAATGATTTGCTAGCAGCACTTACAAGGCTGACTCTGGTTTTCTGAGCAAGACTGGAAACTAACTGCCAAATTAGATCAGGATAATTCATACTATTGGCCTCTATGTTGTCATTTCCAAATTAACCAGCATTGTTCTATAATCTACATGCAGAGTATAAAACTAGTTTGAACAGTTTTACTGGCATTCTCATCTTTGGTTACTGTAGATTTTTTTGTTATAGCCACCCAAATTCTATTTCGATATCATGAAAATTGTAAAAAAGAATGCAACCAAAGATCTAATGCAAGAACTATATGTAATGAGCTATATTTTCTCACCTGAGTGGGTTTACCTGAAAATATTTTTGGGGGTACTAAAGCTATTACTACCTTGGGATAAAAATGTGATAGCTTTGCTTAAGGATGTTGTAAATGCATATTTTTTCATAAGATAATTCAAGATGATTTCTTATGTTTAATGGTTAGCAAGGGGTCATCAATCCTCAGCATTTAATATTCAAAACAAGATTATGCACCACTTCAGTCAATCTACATAATGTGGTCTATCCAGCCAGCAAGGGAACAGATAAAAATTAGTTAGCTCTTATAATAGAATCAAAAGAATCTGACACCACCAACTGTGGATTTAAAAAAAGCCTAGATAAGGTGGTTAGAAAAATGTTAGAACTGGTATCAAAAGCAGTAAAATCCAGAAAAACCTACCAGAGTGTTCTATTATCCATGTCAAAGGATGACAATAGCTCTAGAGCAGAGAAGGCATGCTTACCTTTCAGAGAGGAAAATAAACGCATGTCCATGCGGGAAATGAACAACATAATAAAGTCTGCTGGAAGGCGTTATTGGTATATGGAGGCTCTCTAATCTCTACAGGAGCTCTGCTCTTGGCGGTTAATGTTCAAACATGCAATTATAGCTATGCTGATCAAAGACTAACTTCCTGGCTGATTTGCTTAGTTTGGCAGAAAGTTTTGATACAGTAAATGAAGGCCACATCAGTTGATCAATGTATTTCTGTTATTCTGATAGTGCAAGGGTCTTCAAACTTGGCAAGTTTAAGACTTGTGGACTTCAACCCCTAGAATTCGTGAGCTAACATGACTGGAGAAGGAATTCTGGGAGTTAAAGTCCACAAGTCTTAAACTTGCCAAGTTTGAAGACCCCTGTGATAGTGCATTTGCTGTAGCTTTGCTGTAATTCATCTGAACTCTAATAAAATCCTAGGGCCAGACTTTGTAGGTCTTCTAGTCCAACCCCATGCTAAAACAGGACTGAGTAAACAACACAGGAATGTACATAAATGTTATTTTCCCTATCCTATATGCATAGTTGCCACCTGTTTCTTCACATAAGGAAATTGCAGGATTTTAAATACTGAATTGTATTAGTTGTATTAGAAGGCAGATGTATGGAAGCTCTAGGGCAAGTCTTCCAACTTGACAGATTTAAGACTTGTGGACTTCAACTCCCAGAATTCTTCCTACAGTCATGTTAGCTCAGGAATTCTGGGAGTTGAAGTCTACAAGTCTTAAACTTACCAAGTTTGAAGACCCTTGCTCTAGGGAATGAGGAGTTAGGTGCAGGCCAAAACATTCCAATCCTTATTTTGTTGCAATCAATTTTAACGTCTCAAATTTGTTATTTCTTCTTAGCCGTTTCCAAGCTTGCTTGCATTACTGTAGCGTACTGTTATGTTTAATGTTCTTGGCAATATAGGGGGGAATGTGTAAAGGATTCTTTGAAGTCAGATAACTAAAGCTCCTTTTGGTTGTCTTTCATTGGCTGAAAAATTAATGATTTCTAAAGAACGGAAGTGGAAAAGTACTAAGTTACAGATCTTTTGTTCACACTATTTACTCCCTTTCTATAGATGAAGCTGACTTGATGTGAACTATAACCCTAGCTATTATTTCTCTTCAATTTATGAATTATGCTCAAGGTACAAATTCAGCTTCCTTAAATATAGTTTGATGTGGTACAGAAGCTGAAAATAGACAATTTCGAAACAAATATCTTCTGAAAAAGGCTTGATGTATAGTATTCAATATGCATTTCTAAGCTTTTCCATGATTAAGCTGCATCAAGCCATCATCTCCACAGTGGCAGTAGAACCTTTAAATTTCATGTTTGTATTTCCTTGTTACAAGTCTCACCTTATTTTAAAAAGTGCTTTGAACCATACCTCATGGAAAAACAACTGAATGGCATGTCAGTTAAAATAGGTTAAGAATTATAAGTAAAATATGGAATGTATAATGTAGTTCACAGTACAATTCTGAAGATTTCTAACGCAGAATGATTGAGAAAATTAGACTACCCTAAATACAATGATAAAATACTATTATAAAAAAATGCTAAATCATGCAATAAGAAATTTTAAAATGGGAATGAATAATCTTTTTCAGACTTACTTGTGGTTTACAATTTGCGAAGAAAAAAGGAACCAAAGAGATGAATTCCCCTAACCTTTTACTATATTCTCCATGAAAAATCTTGCTTAGAATTATCTGATTTGCTTAGATAATGGAGTTGGTGTAGTTTTGCCTAACAATCATAGCATTTATCGTAAAACAGATGTACTATGTTGAAAAATGCCAAACAGAAAAAAGGCAAGAAAACTGGCCCCAATGAAGCCTAATGTGAATCACTTGCAGAGCAATAACCTGCTCACATGGAGTGTCACATGGAGATGGGGAGAATCACGGGTGAAGGATATCATAGTCAACATCTGTCATGATCACATTGGTGAGGAGAAGGCCATTTTTGTCTATTGGATGAAAAAGATGGAATTAATCAGTGCCAGCTTCAAGGGATGTTTTTCTGCCCTATCCTTTCCTTCCCAAACCTGTCATAGAGATAAGCTCAGACACTCATGAGGCAAGAGCTTAGAAGACTGCATGGTACAGGAGCAGGGATGGGACACTGTATTTTTTAAACTCCACTTTTGGAAAAGGCAATCTGGAATGTTCTGTCTATACCAAATTCAAATGCACAGGGTTTATTGAAAATAAACTCTTACATAGTTCTTATTTTGGACAACTCCAAGTTGAGATAATTTAATGTTTCTAAGTAATCCTAATAAAACAATGCAGGTTAGGCCTAGCTAACTTGGTTCATTTGAAAACATGATTAGATGCTGATCTTCAGTATAAAGGAGATAGGAGTAAGTACAATTTTAGTTCGATTAAAAAGCATATTAAATCACCTACAAAGACTAAATGTGAAAGAACGCTGAAGAGACTAAGAAGAGATTGGTAGACTATTGGTTTTCTTGTAGTCTTTCCAAGAATCAATGCAAGGAGAAACCATTCTAAAAGGAAGGCACCACAGCATAGCATCTGCCACAATTGAGGATTATCCTTAAAACGTTAATGTCCAATGACATCTATACAGCAGACTAAAGAAAAAAGAATTATTGCTGCGCTTATGCTATATCACAAAAGAAAAATAGAACAGAAAGGCATTTCAATTTAAAAAGGCTTTAAAATTTAAGGGACATAATACAGCATTATCTTCTAATTGATATGATTTACTGAGTTAAGGGATAGTATTAGCATCATAACTGATCCCCGCTGGAAATTAGTGTTCCCAAAACATTTCTTGGGAAGTACATTTACATTCATTTAATCAGGCACATTCCTTAACATTTTATGCTGGTTTCAATCAGAAAATAAAGTAAAATGAGCAAAGTGGAATATTGTTTGGAACTAAACAGCTGAATTTGTTTTATGGATCTAGTCCCATACACACACCATTCTAGAATATTTTGCAACTCCCATGTAATTTATATACAGAGTACAAAGGATTAGACATTGTCCAGCAATATACTCCTTTGTCTCTTTAATAAATGCCTAACTGCTACAAATTAAGAACAACCTCATATTTATGATGGATAGCAGCAGTGAAATAGCTTGTCTTTAGACAATAAACCAGTGTTTCCCAAACATGAATTCTGGGAGATGAAGTCCACACATCTTACAATTGCCATGTTTGAGAAATCCTACACTAGATGGTTAGTCTCAGAATTACCATAGATTCTATTCCCATGACTGACTGATATGGCAAACTGCAGGTTTACCAAACCATGCAACATAATGCTGGGACATTTTCAGTGGGCACATCCTAAAAATGGCACTACTGTATCAGATAGAAAAATAGTTATAGTGTGGAAGAAGTTATTCCAGTTGGTTTGACATAAAATTTTTCTATTTCCCATATTCTTATGCTATTTAATGAAAAGCAAAAAGCTAGAACTAATTTAGTCTTCAAAAGCCCACTTTAAAATCACCTTTCTACTACATCTTCCTTTTGATTTGAGTTACATCATCTATTTAGCAACTTATACCTTCATCACTGCAATAACTATATATCTGCAGTATTTATTGTGATTTCCTATCACTTGAAAAAGCAAGAGTAATTCCTGTTCCCCTAAAAGCCAATTGTATGCTAATACTTGATTATGCTGTGTACCTAGAGGCTGGCTTCAGATATCTACTTTACATTGTAAGGGGGAATGCAGAATGAATGACAAAAGAAAATGGGAAAATGCTGTTATCCAACTGATAGCTATGAGTGCGCTGGTGTTCCAGCATTGCCTCATTTTTATGGTAGACTCCAAAGAGTGTGTTCAACAATTAAGAGTAGAGGAATAGACTTTACTCATACAAATTTGAAATTTATAAGAGAATCTGTAATAATATCAGTAAAACTATTACATTGGAAATGTGATAAACTGATACATTTACCAACAGGCACTGAGTATGTTCAACTATACAAAAACATTAGTTTGGGGGCTCCTGCCCATGGCTGTGTATTGCTGAAGTTGCAATCTCACCATGAGGTATTGATCTCTAACTTTGCCTGATTTGTATCAATTCACAACTGTGTTTACAATCTCAATGAGTCTTGTAAAAAGTCATTTTTGTAATGGCACATTGATTTCAAGAAAACTAATCTCTCTTAAAGGGATGTTTCATTGGTATGGGGTCTTGAATTCTCTTCTTCCAGCAAAGCAATTCTTTGTTTGAGCATCCTGACTTGAGTCTCATGTCTTTCTACCATTGCCATCATCTGGGATTCCAGTTTCTTCAGCTTGTTTTGGTGCTTCTTCTTTGCTTTCTCATAGGCAGCCACAAGGTTACTATTGAAACATATAGAAAACATAGGCTAAGATAGTCATACCTAAACATCCATTCTGATTGGCAGCATCTTAAATGGTTATTAACATATTGGGCAGGATCCCCACACCAACATTTCAACCCCAGCTGGCTACACAGCTCTGCTCTGCTCTGAATCTTAAGTCCAACACTCTGCTAGTGAATTGACAGTCATATATATTCCATCTAGTGATTCATAGCAAGCGTAACAAAAAACGTGAATTTAGCTCAGCATACTGTATGTTGCGTTGACTGGAGGAACTCCTTACCTGTTTGCTCTTTTCAAGTCATTAACAAACTCTGCAGACTGCTGATGCCGAATTTCGCTGCTCTTAGTTAGTCTTTCTAAGGCACTCACCAACTCCTGCACTCTGCCTTTCAGTTTCTTTTCTCTGGAAAGTACAAAGCATAGTACCAAATAATGTACTCAGGGAAAATAAGTTGAACAATATCTTATTTATCATCTGCAATCTGAGCGACATGGATTACTCTGACAGCACGAAAGCCAGAGCAATACTGGTGTTGTTCATACGTTAATTAACTTATTGATTGAGGTTTGCAGCTGCATAAAGGGGTGACAGCGTGGAGCATTTTCCTGTGATGCAGATCTCAATACTATTATATAGCAGCAATAATATTGCTGCAGGTGACTATACTGCTGGAGGGCTGCCCATACTGAGTTCAAATGATATTCACAAATAGGACTCTAATGAGTCACTCCAAGGCTGTTTCAGTCTGGAAGATGCTACTGCTATTACATACTATTACTAATTGCTAACACTATTGCTTTTCTACTAACTGGTAAAATTGGTTGTAAAAGTATGCCCTTATTTTAGGAAAATTAATAATATTTATATGGCTGCCCAGGTATATGGCACCACCCTGGACAGCTTATAAACAATACATGTAAAAGCTAGCATCACCCAAAGTAATACAACCCTCACATCCAACAAGCAACCTTTCTTGGCTCAGACCACGCAACATTCCAAAGGCTTGTTGAAAAAGCCAGGTCTACAAGGCTTTTCAGAAGACTACTGGGATAAAGGTGGCATTGGTCTCCCTGCCAGCCCTGCATCTTAACCACTACATCACACTGGCTCTCAATGCCTTATATTATGGCTTTCGTTGGACAGCAATTCCAAGATGGCCAACCCATTTCTTATGAAACAGTAAGCAAGTCAGACTTGACCAATATGTACCTAGTTTTCTACCTCTAGCTAAGGTACTTCACAAAGTGCGGGAGGGTAAGCAGGCCCCTCTTTAAAGCAATTGTATCAGATTCCATATAAATCTGAAAAATGATATGGCTGCTTTACAGAAAAGTTTGCCTGTCTTCTGTCACACACTATTTATTGTATCTGAATCATCAACAGGCACAGTACAAATACCAGCATAGTTGGAAATTCTATTTTGGTTTTGGAGAGTTCTTATAGTTCAAGATGTATACAATTTTTTTCCCTATAAATACCTCTTGTGAAAGGTGAAAATAGCCATTAGGAATAACAACACCATCCAGTTTCTATGAAAATGCCAAAAAATATAGCTTCTTTGTCAAAATAAATAAAAGCTTGGTCCTAAACGTATTAAAAGATAGCATTGAAATTACTTTCTTATTGTCATTATATTTATTTTTCTTTTAAAACTTTTATTTGTAATTATGAATGGCTACAAGATAGCAGAGCATCAATACTGGAAAAAAAAAAATCTTTGGATCCCCTTCACTTTCAAAGAGCCAGTACAATTTATTGTTTGTACAACATTATCCATTAACTTTTTATTAACAACTGCAGTCTTAATCTGGCCTCCGGGTGGCACTGTCTACAATGCCAAAAATCAAGCATGCTGCCCTTTCTAGTAAATTTCAGTTGAACAACAGATATTTTAAAGGAATGCTTCTTCAACAATGTTGTCATCACTAATCAACCTGTAAAGCAAGTTTGCTAAGGAGGTGAACCTCTATTAATGAAATTGGGAGAGAACAAGGCAGACTAAAAACACTCCTTATCTTATCTGAGTCAGAGACTGATCTAATTTAACTGAAGGGCAGGGTTTAATCTATGACTTAATAGCACATATGGCAGATTTGGAAGAATAGCAGAAGAGCTACTTCTAAGGAGTAGCTTTTTCACATATTACTAAAAGGTACAACGCTTTCAAGAATTAGATGAGGCTGAAAAATCCTGTGATTGGGTTAGATCGAAACCAAATACAGCTATCAATGGAATCTGGTACCTTGCTTCATTCGACACCCAGATCATGGCAAGAGCTTTTATGACTATTCAAGCCAACATAAATAAATGAACACATGGACGTCAGAAAAAGTACAGAGTAGAGCTGTATTAGCTGTTCATTTGTTCAAATCAATATCTGAAGAAATTATATCTACACTGAACAGAGAAACTGCACTAAATTGAAACAGGTCCATTTGAGCTTAGAATCCTCACCAGTGGGCAGCATCTCTCTAGGGTCACAGATAGCTTTGACACCAGCTCCTCAAAATGCTAGAAATTAATGCTATCTGGAAATAATCTGGCCAGGATCCCCTTCCAAATCCTCCTCTGACAAGTAACAGTTAGCAAAAATGAAGAAAGGGATTTAAAAAGTAATACTAGTATTGATGGGAATTTGCATGTAACTACAAGGAGCTTCATTTCCATTAATGACATCCTTTTTTATATTTCTTGGGAATCAATCTACAGTCCAAAAACAATATAAATACTGAATATAAATATTCAAATTTATAAATTCTTCATGTGTACCCTGTAATTGTTCTTACAAAAAGAATGCCAGATTATTTCAATTTTTGACCTACCTTTCTACATAATGCATTTTATCTTTTTATACTTCACTACACTTTTTATTAATTTACTGCTTCTACTAGAATTTAGTTCTTCTTATCCTTCACAAATGAGTAGACTTCTGTTAATGTTTTACAGAATCATGTTATAAAAAAATCATATGCTGTCCAATCATGAAAGGCACCAAAATATTTTTATGATGGAAAAGTGGTATACACAGGTAGTCCTTGTTTAGCAATCATAATTGGAACCAGCAACTCACTTGTTAAGCAATTGCTAACTGAACATGACTGTGCATGTGATTTTACTTCAACTTTCCTTTGCTTTATAGAGTTGTGTAGGTCACAAATGTTTTCTGTCATTTCTTTTTCATCACCGTATTATTAATTGTATATAGTCACTGTATGAGACAGTTGTTAAAACATGAACTACCTGTAAACTGACATCAGAATTCATCAGCAAGTAATATCTTTCCTTTCAATGGAGAATTAAAAGCTACTCAACATACTTTTATTTACAAATTAGCTTGTATTTGAAAAAAAGACATTTGTGAGGTAGTCTTAAGTTTCATCCCTCGATTTCAGCGTTTTGTTATGGCCAATCATCAATCTAATATAAACAAAAGACCTTGAGTTCCCTCCACTCTATCTCTCCTTCCCCCATCTTTGCCTTTTTGGCACCCTGCATAGCATTTCCACAGATGAAGATACTTGAGGACTCCGCTACCACTGCCAGCTGACCTTCCTCATTGTCTTTACCTTCCTCCCTGCCCAACCCAACCCCAGCCTGGTCTGGGAGATGCAATCTGTCCTATGGCCAAAGCCCTGCAGAGCTCTCCTGCCCAAGTCCTGGCCAGTCAGCCAAACTGCCACAGGGACCCTGAGCAGTGGCAGTGCTTCCTTCCCCTGGGCAGACCCATCCCATGGAGCTACTTAGCAGGCAGGAACTCTCAAAGCATGAATCCATGGCCTACCTCGGGACCAGAGGGGATGGAACTGCAGCTGTGGTCACTCCAAAAGTTTCTCCACATGTCCTGCAGCTGCCCAGTTACCACTTGCTTCTGCCTTGCCTCCATGATGCAAAGACTGGACAGCTGCTTTAAAGCAGCAGTGAGCCTTGGTGGAAAGACTCACGTGGTGGTGGCAAACTTTGCAAATCTAAGTAAAAGCAGGACAAGCAGAAGCTTCTGCAGGTGGCAGTTTGCAGTAGAACCTTTGCACCTGGGCACCAAGTAGGTCCCAGGCGAGCTGACACAAACCCTTTCATGCATGGAAGGCAAGTTATCATGATCCCTAGCTAGCAGCAGGGTGAGATTGCCAAAGTAGGGTAACAATATTTTGAAATTTGATTCAGGATTTCAATTTGCTTCAGTTTTTCTGCTGACATTTCCACAAGAGCACGCTAGCTGAATAGAATTTTTCAGCATTCTGAGGTCTGACCTGCAGAACTAAAATTGAAAACTATTGTACTAGGTAAACAGGTTGCTAAATTCTTTAATTGTAGTATTGAATAGCTTTTTAAAATGATACATATTGTCTCATGCACAACTATGTAACATGGATAGAGAGGCCCTTTAGTCTTATCTGTTTCAAAGGTTTTAAATCCATTCCTTGCTCTCATGCATTTTTAATAGAATCCTAGAAATATGATACAATAACCCTTTTCCCTTCCTAAAAAAACCCTCTCTATTATATCATCTTACTCTCCATTCTGCTTATGTATGATTGTTCCCTATAGGATATTTCGCCCATTCCTCTTCCCTGCGGAATAACTGCTCTTCTGTGCTCCTGAACTGTTAGTGAATTTATAAAGCCCAATATATAAAAAAGAAACTCCAAAACTTGCACCTCTCATCTAAGACTATGGGAGAAAGCCTACTTGTTCTGAAGGAACAATGTTATACTTAACACTCATGCCAAAATAATCTTATTTTTAGTACATACTGTTATTTTAGGATAGGCAAGTGGTACTATCAATTATTTTACAGAGTACCTATTCTCAAATGTGTGGATGTTGTGATCTGGCATAGGTGGTTTGGAGGTGCAGAATCTTATAATTTAACGTCTAAATACCTCCCCCCATGAGAGAAGCTGTGTAAGAATACTATTTAGATAAGCACAAACACACTGCAGCAACCCTAACACCAGAAAAAGGGAACAGATTATCCATACACCATCTTCTGACAAAATGGATACCCATATTAGGATAAGCTAGAATATCTATATTGCTATAACTATAATGCTTTCTTTGCTTGCAAGAAAAGCAGGTCTTGGTCATAAAAAGAAGTTTCTAACAGTCTTCCCTAATTCCTGAACAAACGGTATGGTCCTCCTTTGCAAATACCAAAGACACTGCAATAGACTGGATTGTTCAAAGTGCCACTAAATGACTCAGCTCTTCCAATAATATTTCAGTAGTCTCTTTGATCTTCTCCATCCATCTTAACTGTTGGCTGCTTCTCCTACTTTCCATAACCTTGTCAAGCGTAGTAGTTTTTTTTTTTAAAAAGAAAATCTACTGTATCATTTATCATATTCGGGATTCCATTGCTAAACAAGCAAAACAAGGGAAGAATCAGTTTTGGTCTAAGACTAAATGGTTGGTTCTTCTTGCAAACCATGGTACCAGGGACTCATTAAGCTTGCTGACTGATACTATGTCTGTCTTCTTATTAACCCAAGAATTTTACTTTCTGTTTTTATTTCTGTAAGGCTAACAGCGGTGTTATCTACATATTCAAGTTAACATCTCAGACTATTTTGATTCCAGATGACATCTCTTCTAATCCTACCACTTATTTTATTATTTGCAACCCAAACCAATATTATACAAAAAGTATAGAAAGGGGCTCAGACCATTCATCAACGGAATAGGAACAAATCTGATGTGAACAGAAGTCAGCAAAATAAAAACTGAATTAAAATATGAAGCCTACAGAGAAAAAAACCCAAGGAAAAAAAACCACCCCAAAGTATCTCTCGGTGAGAGGCAGCTTGACATGTTTCCGATTGTTCCATTTTAAGCTCCTCCCTCCAGACTGCCTGCCCAGACAAGATCTGGATCAGTTCTTCCCTACCTAAACTTAACTGTCAGACAGATGTTCCTGCAAGGAGACAATCATTGAATAAGGTAGCTGCTAAACAAGGACTACCTATAGTAACAATGCAGCTGTCATTATACAGGAGTTACATGGCATACCAATATTAATATGAGCGCATCCGCAACTACTTTCTCACCCTTCCAGCTGCAACAGACAAAGTTATCAGCATGACAGTTAAAAGCTTCAAACTGCTGGCAAGTAGTTCCTTTATGCTCTTAAGAGTAATAAAATGGCTGACTGGATTGCCTGCTATAATGCACAACATAGTAAGATAATTAAATTGTTTCACTCTGGCCAGCATTAGAAAGCAATTTAGCAGAACTGTCAAAATATGTGTTATAGGAAGTACTGCTGATATTCTCTTTTTTTTCATTTATTTATTTCCAGTATTACTGTTAATATAAAACTTGGCAGCTTATTCTTATGGGGAATCTAAACTAACAGAGATAATTCTGGAATGCCATTTCTAAATTTGCCCTATCTCCCTTGTGATTTTTGATTAGCATAGTCACCTACTCTGGCCTCTAGAGTTTTCATGTACGTTGTGAGAATTAACAGCAATAATTAATCTGCTGGTTTATAGATATTGTGAAAACCTGAGGGACATGCAGATTAGAATTTCAGAATATGAAATGATAAAATGGATACTTCAAAAACGACATAATTGCAGAATGGTGAGAACATCTGAGTAATTTAAAGGCCGCTATAAACTCAGATTTATTAGCACCTTTCTGTTTGAAAAAAGGGGGGGAAAACACATCTCGCTTACCGTCTGAGGGCATTTGCCAATTCTGTAGTCAGCTCACTTTCATTGTAAGATTTGAGCTCAGTTAGTGTTAATGATGCTGATGTGCCATCTGTGCACTCCTGCAAATTAAACCAAGACAAGGTAGGATTATCTTGCATAAATCCAGGCACATTTTAAAGTTTATAGTAATCATAAAAACATATTTTTATCATCAGGCTATCAGTCACTCAGCTCCATTTTAACCTCTTCCAAAGACATAATCTTTCCAAAGAAAAACAGCATAACACGTAACAAAAAACAAAATAGTAAGAGATACACACAGCTTTCAAAATACCTATCCACAAATGCCATTAAAACTTAAAAGACAACACAAATTGATTTAAATCCTCTTAAAAATAGCATGCACAAAATCCTCTAAGTACAATAGGAAAGGAATATCACAGAATAGGGACTAGCAGAGAAAAAGTTCCTATTGTTAGTACTCAGTTTTATGCACCTTGGAAGTGATTGGTAAGCAAACTTGCAATACTGATCTTAAAAATATACATAGCTGTATATGGATATAGGTAGTTCCGCATATTAAAAGAACAAAGATACAACTTTAAATTAATGAATTAGCAACCATTGCAGCAAAAGGATTGATGCAACATTACCTACGTACCTACAGTATACTGAGAGCATTTGCATCAAGACAAATTCCTTGTGTGTCCAATCACACTTGGCCAATAAAGAATTCTATTCTATTCTATTCTATTCTATTCTATTCTATTCTATTCTATTCCTATTAGTTTTCAAGGACAAACATTCTCCCCACTTTAAGCATTTGATAAATGCTTTGGCACAAATTTGAATAAGTTTAATTTCTTACTATCCAAATATATACAGGGAGTCTTACATCCACAACTGAGCCCAAAATTTCCATTGCTAAGTAAGATAATTGTTAAGTCAGTTGTGCCCAATTTTATGACCTTTCTTATATGCAGTTGTTAATCAAATAACTGATCTTATTAAGTGAATCATACGATTGTAAAGCAATCTGGCTTTCTCATTGACTTTGCTTGTTGGAAGCCAGTTGGGAAGGTTACAAATGATGTATCCCAGGATAGTGCAATTGTCATAAATATATGCGAGTTACCAAGTTCCCTAATTTTGATCATGTGATCATGGGCTTGCAGCGATGGTTGTAAGTGTGAAAAGTGGTCATCAGTCCCTTTTCTCAGTGCTGTTGTAACTTCAGTCACTAAACAAATGATTGTAAGTCAAGGACTACCCGTATGACAGTAACTCACCTTACTTGACTTGTCTTTGCTGCTGCTACTAGTTGAGCTGAGAGATCTCATTCTCTGTTCTTTTTGCTCTTCTACTTCTGACTTGAGGTGTTCAATGTGAACCAAATATGCTTGTTCCTGAGCTTCTCGACTGCTCAGCTTCAACTCGAGAGCTTTCTTCTCTTTTTCTAGCAAGTACAGCTGTGCTTTCAGTTCTGCCATTTCTTCCTGTTGGGGGAGACAGCAGAATATCAATGTAGCAGGTCAGATCAACAGAATTATCTGCATAACTAGCATGCAGAATTCCTGATAAGGTGTAGTCTTCTTAATCTTAGGTACAAAACATATGTTTCTTTTGGGTTCTATCGTTCACTACTGTTCTGGGTTGAATTGTTGTTTAAAAATAAATTGATTTTACATTAAAATATTGCAGCTCTATATTAAAATTAAGATATCAAGATTGCCTTGCCTGATACATCACAACATAAAATACCTTCATTGCCATGAGTTCCTGCATAAGTACAGCGTTTTCTAGATCCAATCTTTGGCTGTCTCCATGAGGCTTGACATCATAACTGAGCGGGTCAATATGGATGCTCTCCAGCTCCAGCATGGTTAATTTAATAGCTGCTCTATCATTTTTTAGCTGTTGAATGTAGTCCTTCAATCTCTGCTCATCCTCCTTTGTGAACTCTGTATCACAGCTGCTTGCTGTTGAACTAGTCGTACTTAGGAAAAAAAGGGAAAACACATTTAGGAAAGATATGTCTAAATAGACCTCGTGTACATAAAAATAAAAGAAATAAACAAAAACATGTATCAGTGTACTGTAGATATTGATAATTTTCAGTAAACATTTTTTCAGTAAAACAGTGCTAAGAGCCAATGAATAACTTAATTGATGGAGAAGGCCTATCTTGGTTTAAGATTTTTGGGAAGGTTTTTAAGTTAGATTACACAAAAGTGGGCTTGATAGAATATTTACACAAAGAGAAGCCAAGCTTCATAATCTTTATGCTATAATTAGTATGACCTATACTCCGATATGATCTAAAATTAGATATTTGGTTTTCACATTTTATAATTGTAATTTATTACTTTATTTGTATCCTGACTTTAGATACATAAGCCTGCTGTCAATTTTTATGCAATATTATCTCAAATTAGAACAGACAGCCAATCCAATCCTGATGATACATGTTATGATTTCAAATAAAAGTTTATATGTTCCAGAATTTCTAGATAACTTAAGTTATTTCTCAGTTATTTTCCATTCCAGTCATCCAACATTTTTTTTTTGTAGAGGTTAACTGTGATTCTTCTATTCATTCCTTAACATTCACTGTTGAACATAGTTATACTGCCACCAAAAAGAGACAGAAACAATTCCACATTTTCTACAACCTTGTGCAGAAACTATGTTGTCTCCTGAGGACCTGTAATCAGCTGATGGGTAAGGGTTAAGTCATCCATTAGCTCTGCCTGTCTGGAATGCTGGATGATCTCAGTTATCAGCAAGGGAATAAATCATTTTCTGCACTGGGTTGCAATATTTTCCATCCATTTTAGACAAAGAGAAGGAAGAAAGACATAACATATGAATGATTTCTGTAGCCATACTTAACATGGCTTTATAATGAAGCCTATTTTTCATTCTATTAAACTAAAAACTATCTTTATATTAGTTATCAAATAAACAGCTTGCCAGTCTTCTAGAGATTTCCAAGCATGCTTATCCTAGAAGTTACACAAAATATTGGCAAAGTACACAGATCTCCCTGAGCTATTCTTTTCATGTAGTAGCACTATATCCTCCAAATTTCACCAGTGAGCTTCTTTCTTAACTCTTTTAGGTAGCAACAAAAATGCTGTGAAGAAGCAGCTAACAAGTTACTTTATTTTTTTCTTAAATTTCCTTTGCCTTCATTGATAATTGAGAAAGGTGTAATATGCATGTCTATAAAGGTTCTTAGCCATCTAAATCATGGTTGTCTCAAAGGTGCTTTTCAAAAGGCAACTGGATTTTCTTTGTTTTCCTCATCCAAGAAGCTTTTTCAAGGTTCTTTAGTGCCTTCTCAGTGCCTTTTGAAAAGTACTTTTGGGTATAAATATATGGTTTTATGCAAAATGTTAGGATCCTATATATTTCAATCAGTCTTGAGGTCAATACAAGCTGACACAACTACAGTACAAAGTTAACATCAACTTTCTGTAAGTTCACTGTTTATATGCTATTGTCTACAGAATCAAAGTAAGAAAACTATGATTATTGCATGTAAAAATTCAGATCTTCCTACCAATACTTTTTAACATCTTTCAATAGAAATAATGTCAACTAAATGCAAAGGTATGTGTATTCAATTCTCAGTAGTGTTTGAAGCCCATCGAATAACAACTGGCTCAGGAAATAATTGAAATGTAGCATTTGATCAGGAATATCCACATTTTTGCCTTCAACTCTACTTTTTCTTTACAAATATATAGGCTTGAACAAGGCCTCAGATTTTCCTCAAAAGTCTCTGAAACTTTTTATTCACTAAGAGAGGGGGGGGGGGAGAGATCAAAAGAATCAGAGAACCCCCATGCCCAGTTAATATCACGTTCCCTAAAACTTTCTGAAAACTTAATAGATTGTTTATGGTCAAAAGTGTTCCTTTGGATCTCACATTTAGGAACAGCATAGAGAAATAAAGCAGGTTTCTTAGTACCTAATAGTTAACTGACTTCACCACAGGCAATAGGTTTTCTTATAATAGAAAAGCTGATAAAGTTATAGTGGATCAGAAGATACTTCCACATAAGACTTGTATCATGCAATCACTCTGCCTTATTTTCAGAATTTCATGAACAGCTCAGTTCAAAAAATGCAATGCATGGTCTTCATAAAACCTATTAGCATATCCAGCTACAGCATCTGAAAACCTGTAGTATGGTTTCTTGTCATTTTGAGATAGTGAAAAACTGAAATTATATTTAAAAAGACCTCCCTTTCTCTATCATCAACACCTGGGAAAAATAAAATCCTAGCTCTGCCCAATGATATGCCTTCAATCATACTGGAGTCCACTGGAATTGGGTGGATAATAAATTTATATCATACATTATATTGTATATAACCCTCAGCTCTCCAGAAAAGAAAATAGCTGAGGATAGATCTTCGCTAAACAGAGGGTCCATTTCTGCTGCAGATCATAAAAGAAATGGTCCACCAAAGAAAGAAATCACCTAAAGTGTCACTGAGAATTCTGCTTTTAGCTTATAGTAGATGAGCTATTACTAGCAATGCTAGAAACCTTCCTTTAGAAGCACGCAATGATTAGTCACTGACAATTACCATATACTTGGTAATTAAATGGCATTTATCAAAGTAGCACATTTTTAAAATCAATAAATTTGCATATACAGGATACATAACCATAACTTCCAGATAGTAGTATTCAGTATGTTGAATATCATCTTAATAAAAGTATCTTGTTCATTTGACTTTTAGGTACTGTATAAGCTCTGTTTATGTGGATAATTAGTTTGAAGGCTTTTGGAACATACTCTAGTCTGCTTTGTTGTTAAGGTTCATTGAATTAAAGCTGTTTTGGACAAATTAAAAAAAAGATATATAATCATCAATATTATCTTGTAATGCTTGTGCACATCAGATGTGCTAGAAAACTTAGGAGGGTAACTGAACTTTTACGCTTCAGTTAAATGAACTAGTAGGAAAGTAAACTTATTGTATTATGCGTCTACACATCACAACTGTCAATAGACAACAATATAGTCTAAATGCCCAGGAATATGCAAAAATAACCATTTTGGATTAAAAATTTAAGCAAATTATTAAAACTTGCATATTTCCATAACTTGTAAGCCATTCAGACTCACTTATACAATGAGATGGATGGAGCATTAATTTGATCAATCAAACCAATTTAGGCCCTAGACCTACTTCTCTCATAATGTTCTGAATTCTGATTTTATATAATTATATCTATGTTTAAATGCATGAGTTTAACAATCCCGTAGTTGAACATTTTCCAATAACTTCACTGATTTTGGATTGTGCCACTTTAAGTATTTCCTGTTAATGATTCCTAATCTGCTTATATCATCTCTGTTCTAGTCACTACAATTCAACTGGCTTCCCTTAAAGTGGCAAAGTTTACAGATTTTATCTATAGAATACCTATAGGCTGCTCTAAATCAAGCCAATTAGGTTAATTCAATAAATGTAGCTTGACATTGCTTAAGATTAGCATATACTACGAATGTTTTCCATCTCTTAAACAGACAGAAATATAGCAAGCTTCTAAATACATCATCATGCTTCTAATATATCATAGTGCATATATCAGAGCTAAACAATTTCTGTTCAGGCTTTAAAAATCAATACAAAGTTGCATTTGTATCCTAACCATCAGCACAGGATAGATTCAGATTTTTATTCTTCTCTGAACTCCATAGATTCTTTAACTGAGTCAAATAATGAAGAAGAAAGTATATTTACAGCAGATGTTTTCAACATGTAAATTCTAAATATGATGTTAATAGACTCAAACCCACATTTTAAACTTGGATTAATCTATTAACCAATTACACCTTATGCTTATTTCCATACTTGTTATGGCAGCCTCATGCTTTTATGGGAGAGATGTAATGGAGACAACTCTAAATCTAAAAATAAGTTTAATAAGACATAAGAGGCTGAATGGATCCATATTTGTAAAAGAAATATAAAAAAACCCACTGGCTACAGTTGCAAAAAACACAGTGAAGCAAAACAATATTTTGATCTATGACTCTTTCCATATTCTAGAGCATAAATATGCTTTGGGATATGAATATATTAATTATGTTCCTTAAAAGAATGAGCTTTGCTACGTTTCTAATCAAATGTTGACCAAATAAGATAGACTAATAAATATGAAGTTTGGAAGTGAAACTTCATGAGAGAGCAATTGTTGTGGGCAAGTATGGGTTAGAAGAAAATCATTACAATTTTTGTGAATGGTCATGTATTTATGAGGGCATATTTTAGGATATTTAACTATTTGAGTACACCAATAAATAGTGGTAATGCTGTATCAAAATGAGTTTGGAATTGCAGGAAGTTTTGGGAATCATTTTGCTGAAGGCTCTTTTAGGTTCTTCTATATTACCTAAATGCCATCTCATGTATCAATGGTACTTATAAACAATGTACACATTCACTTTCTAGCTATTTATTCCACCTTTTCTGCAGCAGTTCATGGTGTTTAAATGGTGATTTCTCTTCACTCTATTAACACAACAAACAAGTAAGATTGTTTGACTGAGAAAGAATGACTTGTCCTCCAAAAGATGCTGAAGCTGAGAATCAACTTGAATTACATGAGTGGCACAGAAGTATTAGAAGACCACTCTTCAAATAAATTAAATTAAATATATCTCAGGCCTGGCATGCAGAAGACTGGGTTCCTCTTTATGAAATGAGATAAATTCTTTTTTAGCAGAAGGATTAGATTGTAATTAGTTTACTAATATTATATATCTAGCAATATCTAAGGGATGGTTGTAATGATCTCTAGGAAGAAATATTTCAAACAGATTAAATAGAATATGAATGAGAGTTAATATGGATTAGAATCCATATTTATCTGACAAAGTAACCTTTAGTCTCTGAAAGTTTATGCTACAAATAGACTTTAATGTCCTATACTGTTGTGTTTACATATCAAGTAACCCTAACCCTTTCCCTCTTGTGTTTTATTTTTCCTCCAAGTTCAATCAATTGTGCATCTTAGAAACATGCTTTGAGGCTGAGCTTTTGTCTTTAAAATGATTAGTACTTCTTCATCCACCAGAGATGTATTTCTCTTTTCACAAAGGAAGGGAGACTGCAAATTGAAATTCTAGCTATTAATTTTATTCACTGCCTAGTAACAGCAGCCTGTGTGCTGCTTTTTCCCATTTTATTGCAAATGCTCCCTTTTATCGCCTTTAACCTCCTTGTCCCCAGTGGTTGCCTGAGCATTTGTTCCCAGTAATGTGCTAGGCAATCTGACAGTAATGTGCTAGGCAATCTGACATTCAGCAGCTCATTTTTGATGCCGAAGTTAAGCCCAGGTCAACACTTCAATTACAAACCCCATTTTAAGGGGTCTCAAACAGCAGAAGAAATTATTCACATTGACATGAAAAGTCTTTTCCAAGGAGAAAGGCTCCCCCATTTCCTTCAGAGTTTATAAAAGATACTCCGAACATTTGGAGTATCATTTTACACTGTTTGTCACATAGACTCTATGTGCTTCAATCCTTTATACAGTTCTGTGGTTGCACAGTTCCACCCTTATAATTGTACAGTGTTTTAGCAAAAGATCATCCAAAAAAACCTATGGATGTTGCCAAAGCCAAGGAAGATGCATAGATGTTAATAGCTAAATAAAATGATGATAAAATTCTCTTTCATATCCAAGCTCACCAATCCACATTGCAATAAAATGTTCTCTAGGTGCTGGGGATCAGCAAATAAGTTATATTTATATATTCAATTCTGAAGATAAAATTGACCACACATATTGCATTACATTTTTAACATCAAATGGAATTACATCAAATGACTTCATTTATGTAGTTAACAAGGAACCTGAAAAAATCAGATTCTTATTCATTAAGTTCTGTGAAGACTTCATATAATACCATTGAACTAGTAATATATACTTTAAGTTTCAGTGGAAAAAACATTGAAAAATAAAGAAGTCGTAGAGAAATTATCAAAATAAATGATATTATGAAATATATTACATTTCAAATACAATAAATCTCCACAAATATATATTTAAAACAGCCTACTAAAATTGGAACAGAATCCAGTAACAGATTGAGATCACCCTGTAATAATTTATTAGGAACACCAATATTATTGAACAGGTTGTAGGAGGATGGATGGCTAGCTAATACCAAAAACCCTCCAAAACAATCTCTAATTCATTCAGAAAACCAAGTGATTGGAGATTAACCATGCCGATGAACCATAATTACCTGGTATGACTGTTGGAAGAAAGACTCTCCCAGGGCTGTACACTACAGCCAGTAACTGCATAGGCTCCCCCACAGCTTCCATCCAATTTCATCAACAGGGCCTTGGCTGCATTCTCAGCTGTCTTCCTACAGTCATGGGCTCTTTTAAGCATCTGGGTGATGCTTTCATCCCTTGTTTGATCCCCTGTTCACAAGCAAATGATCAGAACAACATAATACTGGAGAAGTTCAGAAGCATTAATGTGAGTCAATGTGCTTTTAAGCAAACTTCTATGTTCCCATGAGGACATTAGCACGTAATGGACTTCAAAAATAATTGGGCTTAGAAAGAAGTGAAACTGGCAGTGGTACAAGGATGAACTCTCCACGAACAGTCTACACAGAGTGAGTCTTTCATCCTCTGTTCTTGCTCCTCATGTGACATCTTTGTAGGAACAATGAGATCTGAAGAAAAACTAAAGCTGTATCATGAGTTGAATGGGATTCCACAAGAACTGAATCACAGCTATAATGTCTCTCTACCTCTATCCAGACTCTCCTAATTTTTTTGTACTACCTGAAATAGAACAATATCTATTCATACAAATTGTTTCATAGCTTCCAATCATTATTACCTCGTATTCTGCTACTGAGAACTGTTTTGGTTAATCATTTTATTGTTTTTATTCTAGGTATTAAAAAAAAATTATACTATGTTATAAAAGGATGTCACTGTACAATTTAAAATAATATTTATGGATTTAATTGGACACTTTTTATTTCAAAAGCCTGATATTTCATGTGAAATGTACATTTTATCTAACCTATGCATTAAATGGTACAAAGTTGAATATGAAAAACCCAAAGCTGAATGTTTGGATGTTTCAACAAGACAACAATCTGAAGCGTACTTCCAAATCCACTAAGAAGGGCTTACAGGAAATAAAGATGAAAGGTTTTGAAACAGCTTTTACAGACCTCATACTGACAATAAATTCCAATAAGTGCTTTTGGTAGTGTGGAGAGCCCTAATCCCCTGCTCTATCATCCCATATGGCTCTAGATCAGGGCATCTGCAAACTTGGCAATTTTAAAATTTGTGGACTTCAACTTATTAATTGTTCTAACTGTCAGAAAATTTCTCCTTGGTTGGTTTTCTCCTTGATTAGAAGCAGGTTACTTTTGTTCAGTCCTGATTTTCTATGAGTCACGAATAATGTTTTCTATTTGGACATGTTATAGTTTGCATAGTTTTTATTACATAAAATCACAAAAGCTATAATTTTTATTTCTTTTGAGTAGTTTTTGTCAAAACTATTTTGCATTTTATAAGAAATAAGAATACAATTAACTTTGGCTTCTTAAAGCTATTGTTCTAAATAGATTTTAAAATAAATAAATATGTTGTTTTCTAAAGAAACTTGTTTTCAATTTAGAAGAAAAGATTCATTCTGGAACTCTCCAGTGTGACTGTGAATAATTAATTCCAATATGCTAAAACAAAGGACAGAAATTTATTGGTCTTGTGACAGTGAAATCAGATGATCATTTGATCTTTAAAAAAACTTCCATTTAACATATTGTTGACTGTTGAGATGCTGAGGTAATAAATTAAATCTTCAAACATGCTGTTTCCATGCTCTGAAATACTCCAGATTTCTAATTTTGGGAAACAAATTGAATGAAAAATAGCATTTTTAAAGTACTAATCACATAGATAAAATATTTAACCTCCTCACTCAATTGTTGATGTGACTGTTTATGGATTTCCATCTAATAACCCTATATCAAGATCTGTTATTGTTCAAAACACTTTTTCTTGCATTCTGTTATTTAACTTCCAATTGAATCATTTGTTATAACTGTACTTGGTTGTTCTAACAAGCACGCAGGGAGCCATGTAATAGTTCACTATTGTAATGTTCCCTTTAAAGGTGATGGATAGCAAATAAAGTGCAAATTGGATTATTAGAGAGAAAGTGATTCAATGAACACTTACCGACAGACCCAACACCTGCAGCTCTGAATTGTCCAAGAATAAGAGATTGTTCACTTTCAGCCAATGCTAGCAACAGCTCATAGGCTTCAATGCACTGTTCACTGAGGAGAGAAAAAGTCTGAATCGGTGCATGTGTGGGGAAATTAATCTACCTAAAACCCTACTCTGTTGAACCCTACTCTGTGGAAAACTAGCAAGTATGATGATCATTAGTGGTCTCTATGTTCCTAAATAACAGCTTGAATAATTCACATAAGTAACATAAGGAGAACATAACAACATAAGCATAAAATAACATAAGCAGGGGGTTGGACTAGAAGACCTCCAAGGTCTCTTCCAACGGTGTTATTCTAATAATGATTCATATAAATAATATAAGGAGAACTGCATAAATAAAATTCACAGTAAACTTTTGATTATAGAATAAAAGCCTTTAATTCTGGATATTATGAAATTATAGAACTACTTTCCTAGGTTTCATTAGAGGTTCAAGACAGACACTATTTTTTTTCAAGAAATCATCACCACACCAGTTCTAAAAATCTACTTTTAGTATAGAACTAATTAGTTTAGATGAAACCAAGCCAGGTACATTTCCCCTCCCCATGTCCTACAGCATATCAGGCATCCCAGGGTAAAATATGGGACAGTTGAATTGGATAACTAAACCTTAGAGTGGCAGAAACTCTTTCCTTGAAGCATTTCTTTTATTCTGTCTTGCTTTTGCTGGAATAAGAAATAGCCTGAATAGCTGGTAAATAACTTCCCTGAAGACATTTTCAGTGCCAAAAATATTTTGGATTTTAGCATGAATAATAACAAACATGGATTGCTTTTATTATCTGCTTGATAAACATTATGTGTTTCACTAAATTGTTCTTAAAAATAACATTTAGATACTTTGTTAAGCCTTGATGGGAATTTAAGTTTGAGTTTTAAGGTATAAGCATAAACCAAAGAAGTGCTAAATACTTTCCTTTAGTAACCATGTTGTCATATTAACTGACAATCCATCAAAGCAAAGATACAAATTTGAAATAGAGTAATTTCCCAACTGTGAGACCTATTAAACAGTGGAATAACTTGCCCATAGGAGCTGAAACTGACAGTTTTCAAACCAAGGTTGGTAGCTATTTGTCTGGAATGGTCTGAAAATTCTTGCCCTGGGATGGGGGTTGGACTAAAAAATGTCCCTTCCAAGTCTATCATTTGAAGTCTGTGGACTTGAAGTGGAAAATTGCCTACTTATGGTTATCTCTAGAAATTCACTTGCTAAGTAGAAAATATTAACAGCAGGCAAGAAATTAAGTAAAATAAAGAGAAAACATAATACTTTGGCGCAGAGTCCTTAAACTTTTCATAGTACAGGTAGTCCTCAACTTACAACCATTTGTTGTTCAAAATAACAACAGCATTGAAAAAAGGGACTTATCTGTTTTCATAGTTATGACCATTGCAGCATCCCCATAATCACATGATCAAAATTCAGAGGCTTCACAACTGGCATGTATTTATGAGGATTGCACTATCCCAGGATCATGTGATCACCATTTGTAACATTCCCAGCCAGCTTCCAACAACCAAGTCAATGGGGGAAGCCAGATTCACTTAACAACTGCATGATTCACTTAACAACTGTGGCAAAAAGGTTGTAAAATGAAGCAAACTTCACCTAACTGCCTTGCTTAGCAATGGAAATTTGGGGCTCAATTGTGATCGTAAGTCAAGTACTACCTGTAAATCAAACAATGTAAGAATATGTATCAGTTCATTCATTTATTTATTTTCTCATATATTCTCCATTGTTATACCTGTATTGCAATGCCAGCCTGAGGGCTGTGGCATTGGATTCATATTTTCCAACCAACATGCTCATCCTTTCAGCATTGCTCTTACACTCTTCCAGAGTTATTGTCAATAAATCATTCTGAGATTTTAAGTGCTCGATGCGACTGTGGAAAAGAAAATCCTCTTAGTTTTTATGTAGAGGTAGTTGAGGAAAACTAATGTAAACCATTTTTGCTTTCCTTAGACCTATCAAAGGCTGAACAAAGTATTAGCCCTTGGAACCAAAATGGAGACAATGATCCCAATTAGGATAGCAGCAGCCATAGCTTTTCACAGCTGGTGCTTCTTCAATACCATAACTGATTGGAGGTGCATGCTCTTATGAATTTGTATGAGGCTGTGGAGTATAATCCTCTCACATGGTGGCCTGATTTGGCAATTCCTGCTTATTACTTCTCTCACTGTGATCTACCCAAATCACTCTTAAAGATTTCATACCACATTTCTCTGGAGACAACATCAGCTATTGCTATGACTTAAAGAGCAATATGGAAATCCTAACAAATCCCTTTATGACATAATACTGATGACTACATTATCTTGTTGAAAGAAAGATCATGATAAGGACTGTCCTCTTTTCATTATCATAAATTTCTATATTGCTATCCAGCTGGTATAAGCATAATTCACAAAAATCAAAATGAAATTAATAAATTAATTAACTGAAAGAGAGTACTCTTGCTCCCTCCCTCGCTCTATATATGTAAAGGTGTTTTTTTTGATAAATATAAAATCTACTTAACATTTGTGCACTGATAATGAGTTTGCTTATATAGTTTTCCTAGAAAGTCAATTTTATTTCACAATATATTTTTCTATGCAGATAAATTCATGGTCCAATTATTCAATATATTCATGAGATGCTCTTTTAAAACTTCCTAACAGTGACAAACAATAAAATGCACAGTATAAATGATAAATGCATGTTCCTAAATTTTTATTTCTTAATCTTGAGAGGAAAAAAAAGATGTAGATGCTAGGTAAAACTCAGAAAAATTTTCCGTAACTTGGCTTCAAAATGGAAAAGGCCCATTCTCATGTAATTCACTTCAGCACCAACTTTGGATTAAAGTTAATATAGGGAATCTACTCTGTTGCAAAACAAAAAGTGGCTCTGCACATAAAAATGTCATCTTACCTGTTCAACCGTTCTGTTTCTACTTCAAATTCTCTAATTTTGCTTTCAGAGATAGCAGATCCATGTGAGTAGAGTGTTTGAAAAATCTCTTGAATATTGGAACAGTCTTGAAGCGAATGTGCCAGGTGTTCTGCCACACTACTGGATACCTGTACACAGGTGTTGAGAAAACTATTATAGCAATAGCACTTAGACTTATGTACTGTTTCATAATGTTTTACAGCTCTAAGTGGTTTACAATCAGCATATTGCCCCCAACAATATAGGTCCTCATTTTACCCACCTCGAAAGGATGGAAGGCTGAGTCAACCTTAAGCCTGGTAAGATTCAAACTGTCAAATTGCAGTCAACCAGCAGTCAGCAGAAGTAGGCTAGAGTACTGTATTCTAACTACTGTGCCACAACCAAATAATTATGAATATTGTTTGGATATTATTATTATTATTAGGATATTGGATAATGTTTTGTATCTTGTATAAATAACAGGAATAGTCATTAAAATTATTTTATCTTCTGGAGATTGAGCCACTGCTCAACTCAGATTTAAACATGTTGGAATAACAAAGGAATAGGGTGGGGAAGAAATATAAGCACAGTAGAGTTTTCCTAGAAATTATATTTTTCATTTTGGCCTTCAAGCTCAAAGCAATGAACAAAACAAATTAAGAAAACTTCACTGTAAATCTGCTTTAGATGTTCACATCATGGCTGGATTAGCCTGCAACTTCTAGAATGAATGGCCAAGTAGAAGAAGTACTAAGTACTTGAAAAAATAACATTAGAAGAAATAGCCATTTCTCATTGTCCTCTAGTTTTGTAATTAAGTGCATTCCTAATAATTCTATCATCTCTTAAGCAATGATAATGCCATTACATGAAACTTGTATATTAATTTTGTCAACTCTGTTCAAGTGAGTCTAGGGAAACTAAACATTTTTAAGAACTATTTTCAAAATATTCTATCAACATACAAAAGAAAGGAAATGTTGATGGGGAGAGGAATGATAAAGATTCCAAACTCAGTTCATATAGTGATTTATTGTCTGAATTTTCTCTAATATTGGTCATATAATTTTTAACAGAGCCACATAAAAATATAACTCCTGAGTATGTATTTTAAAGGTGTTCCATTTGAATGCTTGCTCTCTCTAAAAAGAGCTGCAGGAAACAGAGATGTTTACTGCAGAATCCAAATGCACGATTGTGTATATTTTATATCTTTATCCTGAAAGATAAAAGAAATTTAGTTTTCATACTTCAGAGAAGAGGTACCAAGAACACGAACCCTTAAATTATAAAATTTAAAGCCCTAGTGAACTTGCTTGGTTTAAGATAAGAGCTGCTTTTATTTCTATGACATTCATACAATCTTGATCTCATGGCTGTCAACTACTGTAAGCTGCTAAATATGTACTTTGTGTGAATATTATACTTACTCCTATGCTGCTGATTTCTGATCCCAGGACAGGACGGTCAGATGCTGAAGATTCTGATCTCGTCTTTGAAAGCTTAACTCTCTCCGCAATCTAGAAACAGTTAAAGTAGGATAGGAAATCAATCACAAAAATGAGTTTTCATGGAACCCACATAATTGTGGGCCCCTTTACAATATCTTCTAAGATTCTCCTCATTTCAATCAGATACCATGGTTCAGAAACTCAATCTTAAAATGCATATATAAGCTAGAATGTGTGTTATGACCAAACAAGGGTGAAATTTCTTACAAAGTTATTTCTCCTGCTGGTTCAGGACCATTGTAGAATAGTTGCACAACAGAGCAGCAAAAGTAAGCAATAATATCCTAGGACTCACCTTAGCAATGGGGATGTCATTACTACTGCTGCTGGTGCTTAATTCTCCAGTACTAGGATTAATGGGACGGTTTGCAGAAGTGAGGCGACCTGGACTTGATGGGCCTGTTGCCTGGACACTCTGTAATCGAGTCTGTAGTTCTCTGACCTACAAAAATATAATTATGTAAGCCAATACTATTTCTCTATTTTCTTTAACTTGGTTTGGTAATGTAAGAAAAACCTGCTTCAAGTTGGGATAATTGATAATAACAAACCTTCAATAGTTTTTATTCAAAAGCTTTCCCTTGACTCTTGATATCACAAAGGGATACTTATTTTTATATTATTTTACCTAACATTATCATATTTTGAAAACATTTTCTGTCTATAGAGAAAGCATATATTGAAGATACAATCAATGGATTTCTGGCAAGAAACATAAAAGGTGTATGGCATGGATAATTATCTTACAGAACTTTTAGACAGAATCAAATAATTTTTTTTTAAACATAGCTGACAAAAAAAATAGGGACACATATAGTTCCAAATTGATTAAAACATTGTGTCTGCCCATAATCCAAATTTCCAAAAACCAATGAAATAACTAGAAGCATAAATTTATGTAAAATGACAATTTTATTGATTTTCTCCAATTAGAAAGCAAAGTATATAAGAAATCTCAACTTTATGTGTTGCTTTAGTTTTCTCTTTAGGAAATAAAATAAACAGGTCAATTTTTCACTGGCAAAAGATAAATTACTTCACTAGAGAATTGGGAATAGTGAAAAATCAGTGATGAGAAAAATTGGACTTTAGTTAATGAGTGGCAATAGAATGGACAAAAATATGCAAAAAGGTTAAGGAATTTCTAAGATGAACATGAATTTGAAACAAACTATAGATATAGATGATTCTCCAAAAAGCAATTCTTGAAAAGTTAAGTTTGTTTTGGAAAAGTCAGATCTAAACTAACAAAGCTTATTAGATTATGAAGTTGAGAAAACAAGCATCCAAATATGTTCAGTTAATTTGTTATCAAGATAAAGGTTCCTTATCAGGTTTTAAAAAATCAGTTTAACAGGATTCTTATCTTAGGATACATATTGTACTGTCTCCATTTCTACAACCCTGTAATCCCTTAATTCTTTTAATTTGGGGTAGAATTGAAATAGTACTGACTATTTCAAACTAAACTTGTGTGTTTAACTATTGAGCAAAGTAAAAGGAAAACAAAATCCAGGGTCTACCTCAAAAGACTTGGTTGAAGATGGTCTTGATACCTTTCCTAAATGTGAAAAGAATGGAAGGTGGGACCATCTCCAAAGAAGGGCATTCCATAATACCACTCTGCTGTTTATTAAAGCAGACACATCCTTTTTCGGGTTCATTCAGCAATTTGGGGGAAAAATGCTTTTATGAAAAGGCAGAGAGATGCTTAGCTTTTGCAAGTTCTGAAGCATTTCAAAGTAATCACAGAATAATGTAAAAATTCTGATCTTAAGACTTGCAGCAGATACTTAACAAAAACAGAACTTGGCACTTTTCATCTGCAATATCACTCTGAAATAAGACTTCAGAAATTTGTGTTGAGTAAACAAAAGTTCAAAAATGAATGTGAGTTATCATTGTGAATAATATTTCAAACCTTAAAAAGAATCTTGATAAGAAATTTTTTTCCCAGACAAATAGGTAACTGCAGAAGAGAGATCACTTTGCTTATTATTAAAGTTAGTTAGGAAAATAGCCTTAGTGAAATGATAATTTTTGAAGATTTTCTGAAAAAATGACCAAATTAGTTGGGAAGTGGCATGTAGCATGAAGTGTCCACTCTAAACATCATTTTTAGTTATATTCACCAGAATGCCACACCGGACAAGCCTTTTTAGGGGGGAAAACATAAATGGAGGCTTTATTTTGGTATTATGCTTGGTATAATGGCCAGAAAATAAAGTTAAATTGAATAGATAGAAGATGTCATGGAGGTTAGATTCAGGGTATCACATCTGATTTCTTTTGGAAACACAGAGAATTTTTTAATTGCACTTCACTGAAAAGAACAAAAAGAAGTGTAATAACCATTTAACCACAATAGGAAATTGTTCCACTAAAACTTCATTAGCTGAACTACTGAAAGAAGCCTCATGAACAATGGCAAACTATATGAAAGCAAGACATATTTTTTAAAGCAGAAATGGTTTATCTTTATACAGTATTTCAACTGCATCAATGAAACCAGTGAGAAAGAATTTTAATGTTATGAAATCAAACATAAATATGATTGAAAATACATAAAATGTCAGTTAGAAGAGGGGACATTTAGATCACTTCATTGTTAATTGACTGGGCCAGATATTTCTATCATTTATCCAATACTATTGAGATATTGTCTGAAGTGATTTTCAGGAAATAAACTGTATCCTGGAAACCTTGCAGAAATATTTGATTGCTGGCATACCTCATCAACATGTCATATTTTTCTATCTTATGGCTCCATATTCAATATTATATATATCCTCTTAATCAAAGTAATAACTGAATAGTCTTACCATCAAATGTTAATAATTAAGAAAAGTGGGCATACAACCTCCTGTGGCTTTGCATCATTTAGGAGTATAAGGTACATGGTAAATAACCATGTGCCAACATAGAATATAATTTGATATGTATTGAAGAACAAGTTAACTTAATACAAAGAAAAAAAATCTATTGGTCATGACAGCAATAATAAAAAAAAAAGTTCAATTAATGTACAATAGCTAATACTTCAGGTTCATAAAGTCAAAATACATAGAGATACGTAACATTAACGAATTGCTGAACATTGTTTCTAGTTTCCCAGATGAGAAAAGAGCTAGCATATTAGATTTACTTTCCTGATTGTTTACTTTTCCAGTTTTCAGGGCTTTCATATTTTTTCAAAAATAAAATAGATGCTTTTATCTCCAATATGTTTACTAGTAACATAGATATGAATGATTTGTACCTTTGATCTAAAACAGATGTTCAACATGTTTATTTATCCACGTTTATTTTAAACAGAAGATATTGTGTATTTACAAGTATACACACAGTACTACAGATCAAAGCAAGGGCAGATCTGTTTAGAAATTGCTCACATATTTCCATGACCTTATATATAAATAGGAACCACATAGGTAGGTATACAACTTCAGCCTGATCTTTAAATTTTTTTTAACCAAATGTATATATTTTAAAAGATCTATATTTAATGTATATGAATTTGCAAATATTTTGCATAGTATTGTATTGTATTAATATATAATGCAATATCACATATTAATATAATCAATTTATAAACAGAATTACTAAGCAATATGCACATTTCAGTATAAATGTTTTTTACAGATAGCAAACAACTGCCCTTTTTATATGGTTACTCTGCAAAGAAGTAAAGCTACATTATGTGCACCGTAAAAATTTTTAAGTAATTACCTCATTTGCTAATGACCTTGAAGAGGCACATGTCATTTCTTAGATATTATACTCAAAAATGGAACAAACTGTTAACTGAATACATTAAATATCTAAATTAATTAACCTTCTAACAAGCCTCCAAAACCCAACTGAGAGCACTTTGTTTGATTACAGATATTGGACTAAAGTAACAGCCCTATTGATTTTTTAAGTTTCAACTTCTTTTATGTACCCAATTTAATGTGTACAGAAGAAAAACTAAATTTAAGTAAGGGTTTCTTTCTCATCCCCTAGGGAATGTCCCATTTGGTTACAGTTGCACATATAAAATATTTAACAGGTCACAGAAAACATTAATTTGTGTGGCAGCTATAGTCTGTATTACAAATGCAAATAAGCTCCCTAGTGCATACCATTACATCATATGCCTGACATGGACATTTGTTACAGACAGATTCCTCTAGGGAAACATAAACTTACTGTTAAGCAAATTAGCATTAGTTTAGAGTACAAGGCTTCCCTAATTTTCAATATGAAAGGAGGAAGAAATGAAGAATAAAAATTCTGAATTTAGTGATCAGAAGCCTATGTTTCAATTTTTATGTTATAGACCAAAATTTACCGGTTAACGATAGTAAAACAAAAAAACCACTATATTACTTTTGCTTTTATATTAAGTGAGAATATTTCTTCCAGGGATGAAGATCAATAATTGTAGTGCAGTATCTATTCTGATTAAAAGCACAGGGGTCAAAATGTTATTTTATATCTTTAATTACCATAAAATGTGATAAGGATCAAGGTTCAAAATGGATTTAGATTCATTCATGGAGTCTCTATCAAAGAGAAGAAATACATGGAACCTTCCTATTCAGGTTATTGACTTTCAGTTTGGGTTATGGGTAGTCACTATAGAAAGTAGGATAACTTGATTAGACAAACCAGGGACAGAACCTTACAGACAACATTCTAGACAGAACCATGGACCACATTCAGATCTTGGCAGGCTCCATTAGGATCCAATATAAATACCTCTCCTGGAATTCCTTTTTCCTATGCTACTACCAATTCTTTCCCCAAATGCTGAAATGTTCCTCAGCATCCCATTGATTATTTGTTTGGTAAACTTCAAGGAAGTGCCATCACACTAGGACTAACATGATAGAAGGCTATCTTGGTGCAGGTTGTCCCATAGTTTTTTCACCAGCGAATGGCATTTCTCCACAGCCCACTAAACATTTGTGTCAAAAATTGTGTATGGTCATGTGTGTTTATACATAGACATGCACCCATACCAGATGTGGTATTCAGCAGGTTCTGACCAGTTCTGGAGAACAGGTAGCGGAAATTTTGAGTACCTGCCATGCCTACCAAGCCACGCCCACAGAACTAGTAGTAAAAATGTTTGAATCCCACCACTGACCCATACATATATACAGCATCAGAGAAATAATTGCAACTCTCTTTTACTCAAGCCCTCTAATTCAAATAAGGTAAAATAAGTTAAGATAACTTTTATTGTCATTTTTATTTTTACTATGAGCACATTGGCCCACATTAAAATGCAGTTCTGTTGTCTATTCTCAAGAGAAAGTGTATATCTACCCAAACACATACATAACATACATGTACACATGCTATATATATAAATATATACCTGCACCATATGTCTGCACCACTCATACCACACGTATTAATTACTGTCCATTTTACATAGCAGAAAGAGGGAATGTGAGAGTTCACAAGACTGATGCTGTGACTGAATCTAGTTGTTCTACTTCATATCATGAAGCTTCCTCCCAGAAGGTAACAAGGAAAACAGGACATGAACAGGATGTATAGTGTCCTAAACAATCCGTGGACTTTGCTCAAGCATGGCTTATATGCTAGTCCTGGATAGAAGGAAGTGAATTACCAAAGATCTTTTCTGCCATCCTCACCACTCTCCATTGCCTTTCTGTCCACAGCAGTAATGCTTCCAAACTAGACAGTAATGCAATATGAGAAGATGCTCTCAATTGTCCCTCTATAGATACTGATTAAGGAGAGGGAAAGGAAGATGAACTTTTCTCATGCAACGAAGAAAATGCAGGAGCTGCTGTGTCCGGTTCAGCAGTGTCTCACTGTTGAGAGACCTAGCTAGCCTACTCATTAGCTGCACGCCAAGAAACCACCTCCACAAGTGAATCATTAATACATAGAGGTGTGTGACCTCTATATATAAAGCAGCGCCTAAGTGATTTAAAATTAAGTCATTTTATTTAAAAACATCTCAGTTCAAAACTAAGGTTAGTTTCTTTTTCATTTCAATCTGGTCATTTCTTCTATTGCTTTCTGATAGCTACTCTATTTACTAACCTCATGGTTAAAAAAACAAGTGAGTTTCATTCATAACTACAAGGAATACAATTTACCCTATTAAGACCAGCTGTTGCAGCTCAGGACAAAAAAAAAAGCATGAGGGAAATAAAGGAATTTATAAAGTGGAGGGGGGCTTAAATGCTGACTCTCAGGGAAAAAATTGCATACTTTCCAGTCTTGCAATTAAATCTGTTTCAACTGTTGGCACAAAACACTTTTTGATTGCTTCATAGATAGTTTGCCAAGCTTCCCTTTTCTGGATAAACCAAGTTCACATATTGTACATAATGTCTTCTGATATAAAAATCAGCATTAGGCTGGATCTAAAGGATAATCTAAGGTCCTTGAATAGTAGAAGTACAGATCTGAATAGAATCATTCTTTGTAATAAATACAATGCATTCCATTATTATTGAGTTGTTTTTGTTAAAACTAAAAAAACTACAGCCCCATAATCTACTTTTCAATAATAAAATCCCTCACAAGGTAGATCGTAAGAAAATCAGAAGAAATAAAAACAAATTTTGCAATGGAGCAATTTTTTTTAGCCAAAAGCAATATTTGGCTGCTAAGATGAACTAATAGATGAACAACATTTGAAAGCTGCAGAATGGAATAAAGTGACCAGGAAAAATTGAGGCCATTTGCTACTTTAAATCTATTTTCTACAATTTAACATACTGCAGCTATGGTTAGGCTAATACAGTTGGAAGATATGAAGGCAAAAGAAGCTGTTTTAAAGTTTTCATTATCAGGTAGTAGAGAAAGCTGAAAGCTTTGGTATATAATTCCTTTCTCTAAAATGGGCACAAAGGAAAGTCTAGCTTCATACCTTAGCTTGAACTTATTTGTAATTTAAAAACAAATGCAGAGACTATTTTAAGTTTCTGCTTTTTTGTGTGATGGACTGATTGGGTGCCTTCAGCTCAGAATTGCTGCTTTGGTACACTGACAAGAGAACAACTTTCGAACAATTGCATACTCCTGATCTATGCACTTTTAAAAGGTTTCTGCTCTATTGCTCTAATTATACCATACACTTGATTAGATATGCAATATGTTTCTGGGGCTAAAAAACGCATTAAATTGTGCTGAATAGAAGTTTTGATAGTGAGATTATTTGTATAGCAGAACAGCAGATCCGTAAAAAAAACAAATGAAAGAATAAGGAATGCATTCAGAAATTACTATTTTTAGTGGCTCAAACGAGAAGGAAAATTATAGAAGTATGCTGATGTTAATTCCCATATCCAATTTATGTGAAAAATGAAGCCACTGAGAAGTAAATACATAGCTATATGTATTTGTATAAAAATGTTCAATGCATACACCACACATATTAAACATCCTGCTTTCAAAAAGTTCCTGCTCCACATATGACTAAGTACACTCTTCAAAATATCAATGAAGTCTGATTCAGCCCTACCCTAACACTAGGTAAAGATAAAGGTTCCCCTCGCATATATGTGCTAGTCGTTTCCAGCTCTAGGGGGCGGTGCTCATCTCTGTTACAAAGCTGAAGAGCCAGCACTGTCCGAAGACGTCTCCGTGGTCATGTCGCCGGCATGACTAAATGCTGAAGACGCACGGAAGGCTGTTACCTTCCCAACAAAGTGGTCCCTATTTTTGTACTTGCATTTTTTACATGCTTTCAAACTGCTAGATTGACAGAACCTGGGACAAGTTATGGGAACTCACTCCTTTCCGTGGTGCTAGGGATTCAAACTGCCGAACTGCAGACCTTTCTGATCGAAAAGCTCAGCATCTTAGCCACTGAGCCATCGTGTCCTTTATCCTAACACTAGTAAGACAGAATTAATTTTTTGCATTTTCAGAAGTCTTTTCCATATAATCCTTTATATACAATGGCGTAACTATAGAAAACTAGTCAGCAGTACCAAATTGCTAGGACTATAACTTCAGCTGGCAGACTTTTTTTTTAATTTGTTGACTAGATCATTAAAGGCAGAACTGTTTGTTTAATTGGGGAAAGCACCAGTCTCCTAAAAGATGCTAGTGTTTTGTTATCCTCTATATTCTATTAAACTAGAAAACCCTAAGGCAGATCAGATGTTCTGTTTCAAGCCATCCTCCCTACAATTAACTCTGAACATGTTCAGAAAGCCGATTTTTTTTCCAAATTATAATATGTACCATTTAGCTTGATATTCTTAATTATTTTTATCTGGAATACTATGTGTGATTGTTGCCTTCCTGCTGTCTTCTTTATGTAGAGAATTTTGGCTTCATTTATTTAAAAATGGAATTTCTGAGTAAAAGTTTCCCAGGCACCAGACTACACATTCATTGTGTCTCTAGGAGATTCACAAGATTTTGCTAAATTCTGTATTTTTAGATTTGGGGAAGGAGGATAGAAAGTACCTTCCTTTATTTTTATTAGAGCTGAGGAAGTGTAAGAATTCTCCATTTGGACAGATTGGAATTACTTTATGTAATTACGTTTTACTGGCAATTTTAGCAACACTAGGAAAAAGAATCAGCCAAATTATTAACCTGCTACAACTTATGCCCGAGGAGATAGACAGACAGACAGACAGACAGACAGACAGATAGATAGATAGATAAATAGATAGGTGAAACAGCTCTTTATTGTAGCAACTACATTTTTGTCACCAAATTAGATGTCAATCAAGAAACCTCACCCTTCTGCGTAATCTGTCTCGTTCTTCACGGATAGCATTCATGGTGGCCTTAGTTCTGTTTAATTCTTCTTCCTTGCTGCACAGCATAGCCGTTAAGCTTTCATTCTCTTCCCTTAAACCTGCCAGTTCCTTCTCCCATTGGGACCTTTCTTCAGCCAAATTTGGGTACAAATCTCGCCCAAGCACACCTTCAATCTCCTCAACTGTCTGAAAAACATAATAAATTAAAATTTAGAGGAGCATATCATGAGGAATCTCTGAATATACACATTCATATTAGTTCACTACTGTTTAGTAGATAATTTTTGTTTAAACACATTTTTGATCATTTATACTACCATTTTAGTCCTTTGTCAATAGATGAGTTCAAACATAAGAGGAAAAATTTATTAAAAACATACTGTTGCTACTATTCCACATCCTTGCCCCAATTTGTCTAGATCCATTTGAATTAGTCTTTTATGAAAATCACTGTTTTTACTCTTATAGCTTTTAGGTCTATAGGGACAACTGAAAGAAAAGGGGTGAGTATGTATGTGTGTGTGTGTGTGCATATGTGCGTTTGTGTATATACACACACACACACTCTGTATACACAGCACACACACAGAGTATATCTGTTATTATGGCTATATCTATATGCAGCCAGAATAAAAAAACCAAAGTAAAACAAAACAAAAAAGAAGTCTTTTCTAAACCAGAGTTCCTTAAACTTCTTGTTTTTATAAGCATGTCATCTTACACAGAAAAAATATACAATATAAAACATACTCAATGCAAAAAAAAAAAAAGAATAGCAATGCCACAATGTAAAGAAAAGGAATGAATAAATTGGTAACATTAAATTGCTGTTTAGGGTATCCAAAACAGCTTAGTCTTCAAGAGCTTTCAAAAGACCAGCGAAGACGGAACCAGCCAGATCTCTTCAGGGAGGCTGTTTCAGAATGTTGGCATTGTAAAAAAAACAACAACACACTTCCTTGCCTCAGCCCCTCTCACACTTTCTCAAAATGTGGGATCTGCAGCAGTTTCTCCTTGGAAAAAAACGTTGGTTTGAATGAAACTGTAGAAGGCAGTTCACTATAGGTAAGCAGCTATCAAACTAGGAAGAGTTTTATAGGACAGTGGTGGCTAACATTTTGGGCTCCTGTGCCAAAAATTGTGTGCATGCTTGAGCACGTGTGCTCGTGTGCCAGCACCCAGAAGGCAATGCGTGTGCTCCCCCACGCCCCCTGCGCACGCACTTGCATTTTTGGCCTCCCAGAGGCTTGAGGAAGGCCTTTGCAGGCCGATAAATGGGCCTGTTTCATCACTTCCAATCTTTCCGGAAATATAGGAAGTGATGAAATGGGCCTATTTTTTGGCCTGCAAAGGCCTTCAAGCCTCTGGGAGGCCAAAAATGGCCTCAAAAGGGGTGAAAATTAGCTGTGAGGTGCGTGTATGTGCAGTGAGGTAAGTTTGCCTGCGGCTTGTGTGCCAGCACAAATGGCTCTGCATGCCACCTGTGGCACGTGTGCCATAGGTTTGCCATCATGGGAATAGAAACACTTACATTGGACTTGGAAATCATCTGGCAATCAAGGAAGGCTGTGCAAAAACAGTGTTGTTTGCTCCCAACACAGAGACCAAAATTCTCAATCTCTTCTCCCCCACAAACATTTTTGTGGATATTTATTTAATTAATTAACTCAGAAATGGACAAAAACTTGCAAAGGAAACAAATCCAAAATATATGCAGATATCTCTCCCCCCACCCCCCAAAGATAGCTGAACAGACATTTTCTTGGTTTTCTTGGAAGAATATGTTAAAGCATTTCCCTCAGATATATATCTCTTTACTAAGCCAATATGAACAGTAAAAGCCAACAACTGGTTGAAAAACTAAAAATAACTTTAAAAATTCTGAAGAGTAAGATAAAGGAGACCATGCAAATCAGTAGGTATTTCTTTAGAGCTAATTTCTCAAGAAATTATGAGTATTTCTATGAAATTGTTGATATAGATTATTTACAACTATGTTTGCAAGACAATACTTGTTACAACTTATAGGACTTAAGAGTTATTTACAGTATTAGATTCATAACAGCAGCTGGAATTCACATGCTGATGTTGTAAATGCTACATATTTTATACTGTCATGTACAATGTCATGTATTAAGAGCCTCAGTGGCACAATGGTTAGAGTGCTGTACTGCAGGCCACATCTGCCTGAAATTTCGCAGTTCGAACCCCACCAGGCTCAAGGTTGACTCAGTTTTCCATCCTTCCAAAGTAGGTAAAATGAGGAGCCAGTTTGTTGGAGGCAATATGCTGACTCTGTAAAACCACTTACAGAAGGCTGTAAAGCACTATAAAGTGGTACATAAGTCTAAGTGCTATTGCTATTGTTATTCACTTCTTTGAAATAACAGTGATTTACCTGAAAACAACTCAAATTTGCTTAAAATTTGTAATTGTGATACTCTCAACTCCTTTCTATTTAATTTTTGTAACTTTCTTGGGCTGCACTTGCCTCCAAATATATTCAGCTATGTTTAAGACTCAGTCAAGAGGAAATTGTACTTTTTAAAGATAAAAAGGGCCTATTTCATTCACATCTTGTTATGCTAATGTAAGCAATACTAAACCATTGACATTTGTAGAACATATTTGCTCAGTAGGCAATAAAGTACATGAAACATTCTAATTAAGCTCTAAAATGGGTAGCAAAGTGCATTCCACTTAATCAGTCGATATATTAAGTGGACTTACTGCTGCTGTCATTAATTAAGAAAAAAATGTTACTGTTAACTGAATGAACTACCACTTACTAATGCAAACACTACAGGTTCCTTATCTGGTATAGACACAGTCTAAAAGATGTTCTGTATAATCATTAAAATAGCAGTAACTTATGGCAGTTTCAATTTGAATAAATTTGATGTATTTTACTGACTATTTTGTCTGCTATGCAATAAGCTGACCCAAAGGGCTTGGAAATAGCCAATTGCAACTTCAATCTGGAATCCAGGGCACTCTCCTGAATTTCCCATTCTTTTCATCTCTTTCCAGGAATAAAACCAAGATACAGCTGCTCATTTCAGCTCTCTTAAGAAGCTGCATGCATGTAGCCAGACAGCTCATCAATGTCTGGGACAGCAGCACAGAAAATGTTGGAGACCTGTTCATTTTTGCAAAAGCAAAGTTTTAAAAGAAATTTACTATTTTGTCACCAATCAATTGACAGCTGGCTTCATTTGACAAGAGTTTTTACTATGAAAACTTTGACATTCTGAAGAGCACTAAATCTGCTGTCTCTGAGCAGATAATTAGGCCTGGAGCAGTTAAGTAATAAAGCAGCGCCATGTAAATCTCCCCCCCCCCACAATTGAACTGGAATGGGAAAGCCATCAGTATGAGATGACAGGAGCATTTTCCTTGGTCCTCTGTAAAGATAGGCAGAACTTGCAATCTGTCATCTCCCTTTATACTTTTGTCAGATATGGTGTGTGGCTGTTGTTGAGGTAATTCCCCATTAGGAGAATGAGTGCACACAGGGAGACGTAGTGAGAGTGGTGAAGAATAACACACAACCAGCACACAAATACACTGTATAGTAAAATGTAGGTTTTTACTTCCAGTAAATGGTTAAGCAAAGTCCAAACACAGTCCAAGTCATACACAGTTAAATCAGTCAGTTTTCAGTCCAGGGATAATCCAACTCAAAGTCCAGTATCAGAAACAGTTCAGTAACAGACTTCCATCAAATCCAAGAACTATGATCAGCAACAGTCAATAGGGAAAAATTCAGGAACCAAAAACAGCAACACTATCAACAACAGGACAGAACAACCCAGGTTTCCGGCTCTATCTTATGGCCGTTTGAGGAACCACACCCAATTACAATTTTAGCATTCCCTTAAAGCGACAGTATTAAAATGTCTATCCTAGTTTATATATTTTCCAGCCCAACTGTTAGGTGACTTACATTCCTAACAGCTGTGCATGTGTTCTTTAGTCTGATTTCAAAGCTACAGTTAGTATCATTAAATTCTTAGTATGTCTGCAAAATGGCAGGAACATTGATTAATAACTAATTAACTGTTTGTAGGAAGACATGTTTCTGTATTATCGTAATGGTGTACTCATTTTTAAAATTTCTCTAAATATTTTTTAAATGTTTGACCAAAGCAAACCTTCTTCTCTTGTATTTTTTTAAATGTATCATTATAATTCTAATTGCTATTACTATCCACAACTTCTCATTTCTAACCTGGTATTTTATATGACAGCACAGATTTAAAGGTGACCTATACAGATTACCTTTAAATCAAAATTCAGGAGCCTCCCCTCAGCTTTTCAGATTCTGGATGCATGAATGAACTTCATTTCTGAAGTATGAAAACAAATAAAAACAAAATCCTTTTGGAATAAATAAACAATTTTTACACAATAGCATTTACCTCTTTGAACAAGAAATACAGCACATAGAAAAATAAGGTGCATATCAGGCCATGATATGCGACAGAAACAGCTCTGGGGGCTCTTTTTAATGATCTCTAATGGGAGTGAGACTGGGGTATTGATCTGTTCTTGCTCTACTTGACTTTATAACACTGACCGTGATATCCATCTGAAATGGCTCTAGGGGTTGGGATGGGGGAACAATGCATTGTGCTGGTTCACTTCCTGTCTCTGGGACCATTCTCAGTTGATGTTGTTGGGGCAAGAGGTCTGAACCCTTGCTTTGTGGGTTCCATCAAGGTCAGTACTTTCTCTGTTCCTGTTTAACATCTACATGAAACCACTGGGGGAGATCATCCTTTACCTTGGGATAAGATATTATCAATATACTGATTATGTTTGGCCATGCATCTCTGTCCATGGTGAGTTAACCAATGGTACAACCACCCTCTCTTGGTGCCTGAAGGGTGTTGAGGTCTGGATGAGGAGTAACAGACTAAAACAGAATCCTGGCAAGACGAAGTGGTTATGGGCTAGGCCTCTTTGGCTCTCAGAGAATGACCATCTTTGGTCATGGGTGAGGTTGCACTACCCCAGACCAAATCAATGCATAATGATAAACAAGACTCCCCATCATGTTGCTTTTCTAAAAGACACTAAAACATGGCTTTGTCAGCAGGCATGGGACCATGAATGGAGATGAAGCCAATTAGTGACTAATTAGAATAGAATAGAATAGAATAGAATAGAATAGAATAGAATACTTTATTGGCCAAGTGTGATTGGACACACAAGGAATTTGTCTTGGTGTAAATACTCTCAGTATACATAAAGAAAAGGTACATTCATTAAGAATCAAGAATCATAACGTACAACACTTAATGATAGTCATAGGGTACAATCAACAATCAAATCATACTAGGAAACAGTCAATATAAATCATAAGGATACAAGCAACAAAGTTATAGTCCTACAATCACAAGTGGGAGGGGATGGGTGATAAGGAGCGGTGAGAAGATTAACAGTAATAGTAGTGTACACTTTATAAATAGTTGAACAGTATTGAGGGAATTATTTGTTTAGCAGAGCGATAGCTTCCAGGAAAAAACTGTTCTTGTGTCTAGTTCTGGTGTGCAGTGCTCTATAGCGTCGTTTTGAGGGAAGGAGTTGAAACAGTTTATGTCCGGGATGTGAGGGGTCTGTAAATATTTTCACAGCCCTCTTTTAGACTCGTGCAGTATACAGGCCCTCAATTGAAGGCAGGTGGGTAGTAATTGTTTTTTCTGCAGTCCTAATTGTCCTCTGAAGTCTGTGTCTGTCCTGTTGGGTTGCAGAACCAAACCAGACAGTTATAGAGATGCAGATGATAGACTCAATAATTCCTCTGTAGAACTGTATCAGCAGCTCCTTGGGCAGTTTGAGCTTTCTGAGTTGGCACAGAAAGAACATTCTTTGTTGTGCTTTTTTGATGATGTTTTTGATGTTAGGTATCCATTTTAGGTCATGTGATATAGTAGAACCTAGAAATTGGAAGGTCTCTACTGTTGATACTGTGTTGTCTAGTATTGTAAGAGGTGGTAGTATAGGAGGGTTTCTTCTAAAGTCTACCACCATTTCTATGGTTTTGAGTGTGTTCAGTTCCAGTTTGTTCCGGTTTCACCACGAGGCAAGTTGTATAACCTCCTGTCTGTATGCAGATTCATCATTGTCTCAAATGTGACCAATCACTGTTGTGTCATCAGCAAACTTCAGTATTTTAACAGATGGATCGTTTGAGATGTAGTCATTGGTATATAGGGAGAAGAGAAGTGGAAATAGCACACCGCCTTGGGGGGGGGGGGCTGTGCTGACTGTACAGGTATCGGATGTGATTCCGCCTAGCTTCGTTGTTGCTATGAGTGGCATATTGTGTGTGTGTGTGTGTGTGTGTGTGTGTGTGTGTGTGAAGGTTATAGGTTTTATCTGGTAGGTTTTTAAATGTTATAAGTTACCTGGAGTCGCCTATGTGTGCAATGGGCAGCCACAGAAATGTGTTAAATAAATAAATAAATAAATAAATAAATAAATAAATAAATGCTTCTTTATCAAATCAATGATGGTACATGCGGACCAATTACATTGCATTCTATAAACAGTTAGGATTAACATTAATGTTACCACACCTTAATGGCTAAGTCACAATGTTCACTGGCAGTCGTGAGCTGTTCAATATGCCTGTCGACATCTGCCACAGACAAGTTACAGCTGCTCTTCTTTCTCCCACAGACAACATTCTCCAGTCCTGTCAGCACTCTCTGCAATTCAGAGTTCAAGTCACTACAGGTATCTGAAATAAAACAGAAGGCGTCAGATTAGCATTGCAGAAGAGACTACCTCTTCATCTTTCTAATGGGATTATGGAAGAAGGATGTTGACCAACAGATGCAAAATTTTCCTTGAAAATACTAACATCCTAATCTTGCAACCTACCAATGATCAACTAAGCTAAAAAAAATAGGCTCAAATACAATCTTCTTTAAGTCCTCCTTAAAGCTCCAATTGCTTAATTTCTGTGTAATGGAAATCAATGTAGGTTTTTTTTCCAGAACAATACAAATGGAGGTTGGTTGCCATTATCTTTTGGCTTTTTTTTTTTTTAGTCTCAGCTCTGGGATTTCCTGATAATCTTCTATCCAAGTATTGGATCAGATCTGGCTTTATTTAGATTTTTTGAGACCAGCCAATCAGCCTAAAAGTTGGGAGTCTGATTTTCAACAACGCGAGAAAACCATTAACTTAGGGACCTCAATGATAAGGTCACTTTGCCAAAAATGTGAAACATGTACACAATATCACTAAAGCCAACAAATAAGGCAAACCAGAAATCTTCAGTGTTATGTAATTATATTCTTCTAAGCAACCTTTAGCATGGCTCACTTATGTTTTACAACACCTTATAAGTTGTATCTATAATACCAGAGCACTATATCCTCATTACAATTTGTTCAAGAAAGTGAGATGATTCTGGAAGAGAATAAAAATGTAAATGATTATTGCCTAATCTGGAAATTGAAATTAGTTTTTTTATTTTCATATTTATGAACTAAACAGGAAAAGCTTCTTGAGTGAAGAGCCTAGTTATATAGGAAACTATTGCTAGGTATTGATAAATATTAATGAGTTTTTCTAAAAGTTTTTACTTTCAATGAATTTATAAAAAAGATGTTCATATTGTAAAATATTCAAACTTGTAACTTAATAGTTTTTCATTAAAGTAGTTCAAATTCCTCAATCTCAATATGTACATATTGCTATATTTTCTATCAGTGTAGGCTACTCCAATGAGCAAACTAAGCATTACAAAAATGTTCTCAAAACATGAAAGATGGACTGTTTGTAAAAATTAAATAAAAATCAATTTTAAAAATGTTCCCAAAACATAAATTTTGTTAACACAGATAATACTTAATATATTCTGATATGAAATAATTCCACTGGCAGAATCACAGTATGCAGTATTTGATGCTCTCTTGAGCTTGGTTGTTTGTTTGTTTCACTACTTGACTAGGTAACATCATCAGTACTAATGAATGTGGGATTTGTTTCCTGTTTTTGTACAATAGCATGTCCTGCTGTATGTTACAGTATATAGTATACAAAATAAATACAGCTACCATGTAGGACAGACAGGCAGAAGATTAACATAGAATATCCATGAATACTAACCAAAAATCAGAAGACATAATGAAAACTCCTTAATCTCATAAGACATAGACAAACTCAACCATAGTTTCAATGGAAAACTCTGAATATCACAGAACAAGCTAAATACAAAAATATTAGGGAATTCCTGGAAGGTTCTCATTCAGACAAATCAGCCCAGGGATGGGTTTCTACCAGTTCTGTCCAACTCTGTAGAACCGGTAGCTCTGAAGAGCAGCAGATATAGAACCGGTTCTATGTCTGCTGATGTTTTTGCCCACCCACCCACCTGGGTTCTTACCTGATCTTTATTTCCTGATTTTTCAACTTCAGCTGCCAAACAAGGCACAGCTGCCCTTAAAAAAGCAGGAAAAGAGGGCTGTTTCAAAGGCTGCTTCTCTGCATGCAGCGTGCTGATGACGATTTACAGGCGCTCACAGCATGCAGGGAAGCACATCATAAATCACTGAACCTCGTAAATCCTGAACTGGTAGTTAACCCTGTCTTATCCCACCCCTGAATCAGCCGCTAACAGAAATGTACACACCATTCAAAAGAGACAATAAAAAGCTAAGAAGGAAACAAAAAGATCAGAACATATCCACCCCAGCAACCAACACCCACATAAGCAGGGATAAACACTAAACAAAAAAATCAAGAGAAAACAATATCCTAATTAGAGAACTATGAAGGAGGAAACATTGGAATGGCAAGCAACAGGGAGGAAACCCCACATTCACTAGTACTGATGATATTACCTAACTAGATAACGAAGAAACTGCAAACAACCAGGCTTAAGAGTACTAAGGACTGCAAAGTTCAACTCTGAACTATGTATCTTTCTTCTATTGGAGAGAATATAGATATTATATGGTAATTATACAAACATAATGCAAAAGAAGAGAAATATACGGCTATAAAATTAATGCTTAAATAAATTTAATATATATTTAATATGCATTTAATATACAATTACAATTTGTTGATTTCAAAGAGATCAAGGGTAGGAAAACATTCTCAACACAAACACTGAGATCTGAACTATGGTCATTGCATTTTCTCTACCTGCAAGTTAAACAGAATTCTATCACTGAACTGAGCTCCACGGAGAAAAGAATTTACAGTAGTGGAAAGGGAGGACAAAAAGAAGCAAGAGTCCTAACTTTATCTGCCCATCTTTTCTGAGATATTTTGTTGTGAAACTCCACTGACGTACTAAATAAGAATGATGAAGCTGAAATACGTTACATATCAAAGATTTTGACGTTTATATTGGGATAAATGATTGCTTTTTCTAAGGGCTAATTTATAAAAATTTTCCCATAACAGTGTTTTACATGACAGGATGTGACATTTGTACTTGGCTTATTGTACAAATCAGCCCACTTGCATGAAATATTTCCACATAGATGTTACAATTCTTTAAGAGTTGATATTTCAAGCAACTAGAAAGACTGAAATGATAAGCACAATAAGCAACCTATTCAGTAAGAGGTGATTACTGTAGGAATTCATTCCAACAGTATTGGGAGGAAAGAAATCTATATGTCATATGTCATATGTGAATGATAATTTACGCAACAATTTACTGTTTGATATGCATGAAGAAAATATATTTCTTTTATTTGCCAATACAGAGTAATTAATTTATAAAGATGTCCTAAGAAAACACAAGAGAAGAATTAACATTTACTCCTTTTAAACTCCTTTAAAATACAAAGTGCATATAGCTGTTTTCAATAAAAGGATGAGCACACAATAGAAACAGGCAAAATACAGACCTTGCATAACCTCTGAGAATCCCTGGAGATAAGCCTTAAAATTGGTTTTAAAGGCCACAAAGAAAATCAATGTCAATGTGGATTGACCATCTCAGGGATATACTTATGAACTCTGTTTGCAAAAGATAAACTACAATAAAATAAAAGCTTTAATATACCTATGAGAAAGCTATTGTTTACAATTAAAATAATGGTTTTCATTAACTACATGTTTGTTTTATAATTAAGCATGTTTCAGACAAAGATGCAGCAATGAAATTGCTGAATTGATGCAATTATTTTCCAATCATATAGAATAATTGTAGTTTAAGGGTTACCAAGAACTCAGAGTTATTCTTCCCATATTTCAAACCACCAAAATAATCTGTATACATTTTGTCATACTTTACTAAACAGTGCCTTCCTCATTCTTACATTTTACATTGTGGCCTTCAGGCAATTTTCCTCCAGGAAAATAAGACTAAAAGCAAAAGTGGTCTACATCTTGAAGAGAAAGCAGATTACATAGGATCAGGGGTGGGTTTCTACCGGTTCTGTCCACCTCTGTAGCAGCAGACATAGAACCGGTTCTATGTCTGCTGATGTTTTTGCCCACCCGCCCTCTTACCTGATCTTTATTTCCTGATTTCTCAACTTCAGCTGCCGAATGAGGCACAGCTGCAGTTAAAAAAGCAGGAAAAGAGGGCTGTTTCAAAGGCTGCGTCTCTGCACACAGCATGCTGGTGACGATTTACAGGCGCGCGGCTCACAGTGTGCAGGGAAGCTCGTAAATCCCGAACCAGTAGTTAACCCTGTTGTATCCCACCCCTGCATAGGATGTACAATATACGCCCAATTAGGGTTTTTTTTAGTCCTTAATGTTTTTTTTTTTTGCCTATAGCAACACAGAAGCATATTTGCTTTACAAAAATTTCAACAAAAAAGTGAAGTTATAAGAAAAGTAGAACAAAAAAGGCATACAAATGAAAACAAATATACTATTTGCTTTCTAACTGGTATAGGCTCAACATTAAGATATACTAGATTCAAAGGGAAACAGATATCACATGTCTGGCAGCTTCTTAAAACAACAACTTTTTCCATGTTCATGCTACTGCCTAATACAGTATTTGTTTCCTGTTCAAAATTGAACTTAGCAAATTTTCCCAAACAGAATTATCTAAAATAATATCTTTATGTATCTAAAACAAAAACATCTACAAAACTGCCCTAGGCAACTTTTCCATTAAATATGCATCTCCAAATTTGCTAGGCCATATATAGCTGTATATTAATCAATCAGTATTAATTATGCACACTATCAACAAATGATACCCACATAAATTTTGCTTTTGTTTTAAGATCTTACAGTAATTGCACCTCTATTATTTTCCATGATAAGCATTCTTGCTTTATGATGGTACATCAAAAAAATATGCAACAGTCACCCAACAGCCAATCAAGTTACCCCTTTACTCTATTTTGTGGTTTTATTTTGCTCTGAAAGAATTATAGAAATACAGGGATTTTTATAATATAGGGATTAAAAAACAAAGAATTAAACTTTCAGTATACATACATACGTGATTTTAGAAAACATTTCAAATATTTTAAATATTCACATTCAGTATTTCTATCCAGAATGACTCTTATACAAAAGATATTTGGAAAATAACTATTTATAGTTTGTAAATGGTGAGTAGATTTGAATAAAATTATCTTCAATCACAGTGTTTTAATGTTCCTTTATATGCTGATATTTTTTGCCACAGCAATTTTTCTACATTTTGTAGATCCAATGAAACATATACTTTTCAAATATTTTTCAATAGCTAGCACAATAGTAATTTAATCATCTTCTTAGCTGCACCAATTTATATGTCATAAGAAACACAGATTTCCACTGAAGAAAATTTGAGAGATACACTACACAACATATTCTTATCAATAAATTATTGGTAGGTTTAGAAGACATCAAAATGACTGCAGTAGCTATTAGAATTGAAAATGTGCTATCTCTCTGAAGTAAACATGAGAATCCAGAATTTTTAAAATGTGGCTTAATATACTGACTCTTTCTGTCACAAGTTATTTCTACACAGCACATTGGCTATAGGCCCAGGCAATGGAACCATAAAACCTGCTGGAGCTTGACAAAAACCATTACTACTAGAATCATTCTGACACAAACAAATGTCCCTAACACTTCCCAGCTCAGCCAAATGTTATTTGAAACCTGCCATCTGTATAAAAATTACACAGCTTTCAGAAAGCAACAAGTCTTGGAAGAACACAGCTTTTCATTTCCTTTGTTATTTGATCTAATAGTACTAGCAATCTATGAATTTACAAAGTTAATTGCATAAGAAGAAAAGTCAAATATTCAAAACCTAATAATTTAATGTAATATTGAAGAAAATGCTGTATTTAAATTAATATATTTCAGAATGTTTAAAAAAAGAAAATGATTTACTTCAGCACTTTGCAAACATTTTAAAAAAGGATTACCTCAAATGTCATTTCTGATTTTTTTATTGCAACTAAATCCTCAAGTACAAACTTGTTGCTGAAATTAATATTCTGTATCTATTTCTGGGTTTATGTTTAATGTGTATTTTAAAAACTTGTATTATTAAAAAATAATGTTTGATATTTTTACTTTCCTTTCAATGTCTGTGGATGTCACTTTTTCTTTCAAAGAGGCTAGAAAAAAATTGGATTACAGTTGTTTACCTCTCATTTTAAAAGGTTTGCTTTTTATATTATAATATTTGTATTTATTGAAATAGGGCACTATATACTTTATTAAAACTAATCCATTTTTAAAACTATAAATATATTCAAAATACCAATGTCAGCTGTGACCATAGTTGACTGGTTTTCTGGAAGGGAAGCAGAGGTCTGATCTTGGTCCATGCTATGTGAATCATCATTGACCTCATGTTGACTCTGACTAAGTTCTGATCGCAATTCAGAATATTCATCTTCTTCTCTGAGGAATGAAACATAAAATATTCAGAATAATTAAATGTAGTTTAATAATTTTAAATGATCGAAAATACTTTTATAGATATTCTACATTACATTCAATAATATCTAAGATGTTTATAAGATCTAAGACATTAATACAATGGTCAATGAAGGGAACATAAAGCTTACAAAATTAATCACAGAAGGTATTAAAAATAAAGCTATAGTACATTCAGTGCTATGTACTGTTGATTCAGTTATTTAAATTCTGCTTTCAATTGTTATTTTATTCGTATACCATTTACAAACCTCCAGGTTTTCAGAATAGCACAAAAATGGGGAGAAATATATAGCTTATGCAATTCCACTTCATGGCTGAATGGAATTTTAACCCAGTTCTATCTATTCTACTCTCAGGGAATTCTCACAGTTTTCTTACATTATTGCTTTGCTAGTGTGTGCGTGTTTTACTTTTAAGAAATGCACTATTTCACAACATTAATTGGCAGTATATAAATGAACAGAAAATATACCAAGTTGGAAAAATCAATCTTTCATAGAAGGCTATAGCTAGGAATAACTTTCAGTAGCATATCTCTTCAGGCATGCTAAAATTAATACAGGTAATAGTACTTGACTTATGACCACAATTGAGCCCAAAATTTATGTTGCTAAGTAAAATATTTGTAAGTGGGTTTTGCCCCATTTTATGACTTTTCTTGCCACAGTTGTTAAGTGAATCATTGCAGTTAAGTTAGTAAGCCCAGTTAGGTGAATCTGGCTTTCCCATTGCTTTTGCTTGTCAGAATGTTGTAAAAAACATGACCCTGGTATACAGCAACTGTCATAAATTTGACAGTTGCCAGTCAGTTGTCAGTTGTATCTGAATTTTGATCACAACAGTGGGAATGCTGCAATGGTTGTAAGTGTGAAAAATAGTCACAAATCACTTTTTTCAGTGCCGTTGTAACACTAAATTAACTGTTGTAAGTCTAGGACTTCCAGTACTTTAAAGAACTGCAGAAGTAATTATTTTATACCTTATAAGGAAATTTATACTGTTGTATTGTATTTATAAATATTACAAATATTATTTACAAATATTTCACTAATACATTCCAATATAAATAGATTGTATTGTGCTTTTCCTTTCTAAGAAAATATTTAAGTATTCAACTATAATTTAAGGCAGTAATGGAAGACTTTGGAAGCCCACATAATTCTTTCAAAGATGCCTAGATTTAATTGGTGGAGGACTTTCCTTTAGGAGGATAACAATTAGTTGTGATCAAATACTGTTTATGATAAAAGGAAAACATAAAATTCTTACTTGCTCTTCATGTATGCGTATAACTATTCAAACTATCAAAACTAAATTCAAATGAGAAGTATTATTTAATAGCAGAACCAAGAAATATTCCAAACATGCCAGAGGTTTGTTTAAAGTTGAGATCAAAGCTATATATCTATTAAAGAAGAGAACTAAATTCTATTATAGCACAGTAACTGGCATACAAATTAAAATACATGATAATGAAATATTGTTTAATGCTCTTTGAATATGTTAATTACTGGGAACAATACACTCCAACAAAAATTAGCCTTAAGCAAAAAAAAAATTATCATGATGTTGAAGACATGTCTTTTTTGGTTAGAAGGATAATTTGTTTGCTTGCTTAGTCAATTCTCTGCAATTATGAGCTTTTCACCATATTAAAACTGAACACACAAGATGCAATGAATCTCAAATTTATTCTATTTAGCCAAATTGAGTTAAATTCAAACTAGGAGGTTATGTTAGATTTTTTCTTGTGAAAACAAACATTGCATACTTGTTATAGCTGAACACAGTACAGCCAATCCCTTACACCTGTAATTCCCTTCATTTAAAGGAAAGACTGATCAGTCTTCTTTAATTTTCATTTTGTAAAATCTATTTAAGGAATATCTTTTTCAAAATCAATTTAGTTTTGAAAGAAATTTGTCTAATTTAACATATTTCAATTTAATATGTTCCCTTTCCTTATAATACATGCAGACTAATAACCAGCCTTATGTTAATATTAGTATTTTTGAGTTAAGTATGACTTCATTGCACACAACTTGAGTTTCCAACAAGCCCCTTATACTGTGCATTTTTTTCTTCTTGCATATTTTATTTATTAAATAAATAACCCATCTCATCTAGATATCACATATATTAAAATATACAAAATTAAATAATACATATGAATTCAGTAAGTACTTTCTTCAAAAAAGGTGTTGTACCATCTGTTTTATTTGAGGTATTACAACTTTTGATATTTTTGGTGTTCTTTCTGGCACTAGGGATTGGTTTCACAGAAATCAATTTTTGCATGGACTGCAGGGTGGTGGTTCTGCATGCAACCTACATTCCCACACATGCACAGGTAAAGCTTTGCACATTAACCCACCATTTGTGTGGTCTGATTCCTAACAGGTTGGGGTCCCTGCTCTAGATGTATTAGTCATACTGACTAAGAATTGTGAAGTTCAACATTCTGGAAGACTCTAGGCTATGGAAAGTTGTATTACAGCAAACAGTATGACTCTATACTGAAAACTATTTGTGTAAGGCTATTTATCAAGAGTATGGCATATGTAAACATTTCAAGTCAAACATGTTACAGAAATTATAACTGCTCATTTTCTTTCAAAATATTACCTATCCGAGGAAACAGTATTCTTAATACACATTTTTAGAATCACCCTCTCTTTAAGAAGACTGACATTTTTTCCTCAGAGTTTTTAAATTTTGCATTTTAATATTTCAATACCATTGCTATTTAACTTTGCATTTTATTTTGATACTTCAATAAGTTTGTTGTTCACCTTATGCATGTGTTATTGCTATTTTAATTGAAAGTGTGATTGATAATTGAAATAATTATCAAACACTTTAACAGTCTTCCTTCCAGAAGAATTAGAGAAGGAAGGCTAATATTTTCAAATCAGAAATGCCACCTTAAATGATAGGTCATATTTTCAGAAGATATCATTACAGAAAATTTTCAATGATCTAATATTGTCCCAATGACAACATTTTAAAGTCTGCATAACCACTGATGTTTCAAGAAATATATATTTATCAGGTTTTTTAAATTTTTATTTTCATCATCCAGCCAAGATGAATTTTTTATATGTTTAATGATGGATGTTTAGGTCATTTTTTTTGTTTTTTGTTGTTGTTACTGTTAGATGTATTTTTTTTCTGTTTTGTATTTTATTCCTATTGATAACACATAAAAATATATACATAAAAATAAATATAATAAATATGTTTCATTCTGGATGCAGCTAATTTCTGTGCTATTCATTTTAAATTTATTTTTGAGAACTATTAAGTATACATAATAATGGAAGTATTTTGAAATATACTGAGTTAATCAAAACTCTCTCTACAAAACCTAGTTTTCTAGCTATTCATTTAGTCATAGTTGACTTTCAATCAAATCACAACCCTATTTTAACTTAGAGTTATTACTTATCCTTCTAATAACAAATCAGATAAGTTTGCTTTTCTCATTAAGCAAAATGCAAGGAATTATACAAATTACACAAACTTTCACTCTCCGTACACTCCTCTGCTAAGGAATTAATTTGGGATGCTAACAGAGTGTGTGCACAGTAATTCTCTCATGGTTTCAAACACAATCTAAAATTTGGCTTTTTTCCAACTTTCATTCTGTGTTAATCAGTGCTGCCACAATACTTTGAAATCTCTGGTATGAAATCCTCTGTGAATAAAAGAGTTGTTATAATTAAAGAGATGTTAATATTTGTGTTAAACCTTTTCACTGATAGTTCTCTCATATGAACATTAACAATCCTCCATTTTTTCTGTCCTTTTGGTAATCTGAATGGTGACTTTGTTCCCTTGTGCAACAAATCAATTTTGCAAAATTAATAAATTTATATTAAGGAATATGGAGAAAGGGAAATCTTTTTGGGGTATAAAGAAAAAAAAAAGAATTTTGTTTTTTTCATTAGAAGAAAATTAAGAAACAATAAGAAATCTTCCTACTAGCAAATTTATAATGTAAAATAAATATACAGCATAAAAGCATATAATTATCTCTATCAAGATAGTCTTTCACAGAATTCTAAATGACAGTGTTTAGCGTACGTCACACACCAATAAAGATCTAAGCAGAAGCTAAACACCTCTACATTCGCTAGCTAAGCATTCCTAAAATTAAGAAGAGTTGATCAAATACAGTTTGCTTGTTTCAAGTCATTATTTCAGATACTTTGAAAAGTGGCAAATATAAACTGATCTAAATTATATAATCCACAACACAATAAATGGATGTAGAAATGTTATTTTAGTTAAGCTAAATGAAAAACAAGGCTTTACCCTCAAAAGCTCTACTACTTATAAAAATAACAATATTTTGAACTAACATCTATTTGATGAATTATATAAAATACACCACTTTACACAGAATAAAGAAAAAAATAGCAAGCAGCAATGATATTTATCCTTAGCTCAATTTTTCAATAGGAAAATAATGATTTCAAAAGGTGAACATTGTCAGTACTCCTTTGCTTGCATTAATGAATTATAATCAATGCCTATATTTTTAATAGAAGTATTAGATCTTTTGATGCAAACTTTATAGCATATTAAAGATTCAACAATGCAATGCTTAGCCATCTCTTTCTTTAAATTATTCATAAGTACACTATGATGTAAAAAAATCCTAGAAGGAAAAATGGTAAACTATTTTCATAACCCTGGCAAAAAAACTTAGTACATATGCAAAGAACAGGACCCAACTTAATCCTAGATCTTATTCACATTTCTAAGATACTCTATACTAGTTATTATAACTTGTATCACTCCACATTTTAAAAAATCCTTCCACAGTTACCTCTTAAAAACTTATAAAAAGCTGAATTATTTGCAAATTTCCCTTCCCCATTTTAATCTCAGTAGGGATGTGGATCTAATCATAGGCAAATTTCTTTAGCAATATAGCCCAGCTCAAAAATTCATAAGACCATGACTATATAGGGAATCCTTAATGAACCAAGAGATTTTAATTTCCTCATCTATATTTGAGCTGATTAGGTTAAGGATTATGTATGCAAGGAGAATAAATTGTAAGCAAGGACAATTTGTGACAATATATAATGTTATTATTAATCACATGGTATATCTATCAAAGCATCAGTGTTAGCTTCTAATTTCCTAAGTCAGCCACATGAGATATTCTTAATATTGACCTTATTCTGGCAGAAAAATACAGAATGAATGGCATCACAAAAATAATCTATAATAAGAACTGAAGCTTATCATCTGATACTGAACAGAGCCTTAAAATATTTATTAAACAATAACAATAACAAAACTTTCTGGTCACTATATAACTGGAAAAGTCTTTTTGCATAATTTTAAAAACTTTTGAATCATAACATTAGAAAGGGAATTATAATTTAAAGTATCTTTCCACTATTATAATATTTTGAAAGAATGTCAATATGATGCCCTTTTAAAAAGGTACAAGGAAAATACATTGAGCTATAACTGGTTCAGTTATCCAATAGGTGATTATAATTTTAAAATCACTTAAAAGGAGATAACAAAACTTAATTATCTGTTATTTCCTTTATTGCTTTGGTAACATTATAGTTTCATTTGCCATATAAGCAGGAAGTTAACCTGGTCTATCACAACAATTGCCATTTAATATTTTTCCTTACTAGAAATCAAGATGATAGTTTTCTGTATACTTGTTATTAATTTTTTTATTAAGAATTACATTTTTAAACATTGACCAAATATGTAAGAATATTAGTATTTTTATTAATGATGTAATTGGCAAATTTATCTTTTACTATTTGTTAACCAAGATCTTTTTTTTACAATTAATTTTTATAATGCTCTCTGAAAAATCTAAGATCAACCTTCTCTTCTGTGACAACCTATAAACACATTCTAACTATTCTTACTTCATCAGTTAATTCTTTGCCCGGTCAGCTAAATTCAAAAATCACTCAGTTTTGATTATACTCTATGTTTTAACATGGCCCTTGGGCAAAGATACTTTGTACCAATGGCCATGGTTGATTTCAGCTGGGCTTCTACTTGGGGAGCACTCCACAAATGATGACCGGAGTGATATACTAATGGAGTAGGCAGTTCCCAAGTATTAAAGAGATTTTTATATTAAACCATGCATTTTAAATTTGACACAGAAACAATGATGTTTATCAGTCATGGTAACCCATGAAGCTGAGGCTGGACCCTACCCAATAGAAGCTTGGTCACAGCGTTCTGGCTGTAGTTCATTGTTTCCTCCAAAAGTATTCAAATTCCAAAACACAGGAATTTAGTCAATATATTTTGTTGCATACCAAGCAGATGATGATATATTTGACTTCATTACAGTAACTACAACTCCCAAGCCACTCTGCCACAATAACTCAAATACTGATTTTTGCTGTAACAGTTTATGAACAAATCATATAATTTGCTACAGATAATTTTTCACAAACCTTTGGTAACAAGTGTTTTTTTTAAAAAAAACCAGCGCTATTTTAGATAGTTTATCTTTCAAATCTCGTATTAAATTGTACATAACTGCACCTCTTTAAAAATATGTTGTCCAAGAAGTTGGAGAGTAAGCAACTGCATTGTTGTAAGACAATTCAAAATGATAATTGGCATGACATTTTAATTATTATGTCACCTTCATCGGATGCATTAGAAAGTGTTAATGCCTTATCCAACTCATATTGTTGTGTGGCTTCATATATGCTTTGCTGAATAAATTTGAAAGATCTTTGACAATACTAAAAACCAAATCTATCCTGTCATTAAAGAAAGTCAGACTACTTAGAGAAGAAATATATATTACATTGCATTGCACACTCTCTGCTTACATTAATTTTTGAAGTCATCAAATCATTTCTACCTGTGCCATTCAGCCCAGCAGGAGTGAAAGGCAACTGGCAGGGCCCAGGAAAAAAAACATTTGCAGTCACGGCACTCCACCGTCTGAAATATCATTCCTTCAGACACCAGGTTGGTCCCTTCCCTATTGGCCTTTCATAAGACCTTTGAAGATATATATGACTTTGTGCTTGAAACTGGGCACTGTAGAGATGGGCTCCCAGTTTGATTATGTTGATTGTTCAATTGGGCCTTTATAATTTTTTCTGCTGCTATGGGTTTTATAGTTTTTGCATATATTTTTATCAGGTTTTTGTATTTTGTTAGCTGCCCATAGTCGTGAATATGAGATAGGCAGCCACATAAGTCCACTGAATGAATCAGAAAGAATAACAAATGGAACTGCATTAAGAGAGCTTATTGTTATAATTTGGTATGGATCTTACTTTGCTTTGCAAAGTCTTGCATACATAGATGATACTGAATAAAAAAACTATTCCTTACTAAAATGTTTCTCTCCATATATTTTGCATACTCTGTACGTGTAGTTTTACCATCTATTGATAAAAGCTTATGACTTGGACAACAAATCTATATAACACGAAAGAGTTTTCTTGTATAAAAGTAATGAATTAGAGTAGTTGGTAGAATTAATATGGACTACTCATAAATAATACTCATTTATAGTCAAGAGTGTGTGATGCCTTAATGTTTCAAAGATAGACAGCTCTGGAAGATGTAAGAAGCTAAAGAAATGTATTAAGAATCATCTAATACCAAAAGTGATCAGCAAAGCACAATATCATGTTCTCTGGCAAAATCTGGGCACTGCCAATTTACCAACAACTTTATAATGGATTTTTGGAAATGCAATCTTGTTAGGAGTAAAATACCTTTTCTCTATCATTACAAGGCTCCTGATCTACTATGGAGTAGAGTTTTCTCTATAAACCCTCATGCAACCTCTTCTCCAGCATTGGCATGGAAATTACTGGAATGAGTGTTACAGATTCTCAATCTTCCTGGTTATTGCCAACAAGAAGTTCATTTCCTGTTATTAATAATATAATCTTCTCCAATGACCAGAAGATTGTTGACAGAGTGTCAAGGCCTCAGGTTTCTTATTCCTATTATAAATAGTTAAGCTTAAGCGTTTTAAAAAATGAACTTTTAATTCTGTCTTATTTGATATGTATTAAACGCTAAGGACTTGGATAGAATGACCAACACTTATAGGTGGCTTGCAGCTATACTTAAAGATATTCAGAAATGATTTGAATATTGGGCAAGAGGTTTTATGAAATGAACAGAGGAAGCAGAATACAGAATTCAGTCACTGATGTTATAATCTAAAGTCTGGAAGAATGTATATTTAGAAAGAGAAACTGCTTTCATGAAACCCAATAAGTATGTTCACAGTAGTATCTTGTTAATAAATACATTTATCATTGTACCTTATAGTAGTTCCTTGCAGTCGATCTATTTTCTTATTTAGCTCTGCAATAATGCTATGAAGCTCTGTGATCCGTTCCTCATAACGAAGCGTTGTACGCTCTTGCACATCTTCATGCTCTCTCATTAGGTGAGATTGCTCACACTAAACAGTGTAAAAAAACATTTAGAGGTCACATGGAAGCAATATGGAACATGAGGCAAGATGTTGTTTTGCAACCTATCATCTTCCTAAACATATAAAACTGATAATTAGGTTTAGTTAAACTGGTTAACAAAAAAAATCCATCAAGGATTAGTATAAGCTGTAATAATACTGTTTTTTGTGTGAATCTCATTCTTTTGTGAAATTATTTGTCTTTGAAAAATAAAAAAGCACCAAATGAAGTTTAGGAAGGTATTTAAAACCCTGCTCTGTCCCCAGGCTCCTGGGTCAAAATGAGGAAAGTTCCCAGCTGGTCAGATACAATATATTTTATTTCTGATTGCCATTTAATTGTTTTAGTTTGCTTTTGTGGTATCTGTTATTTTTATTTTTATTTAATGATTTTTGTATACCACCCAGAATCATATAGTTTGATTTGGGTTGCCATACAAATGAATTAACTAAATAAAACAAAGTTAATCCATTGTGCATAGTCACAGCACAGGGATAATGTATTCTCATCACCACAATATAATTTATAGTATAATTTATAGTAGGTAACTGAAACTATAAACCTTAAAATGCTGTTGAACTACAATTTTCAGAACTTTTGGATCACACTTTACTCTTTCTGTACAGTACTGGTTCCAAACTACACCCTGCTACAATATCATGTGCATTTACTGTTCCAGTAAGTTGTAAAAAGATTGACTTCTGGATGGTTTGAATCTGCAAAAAAAAGATGGCAATGATATCTGAATGTCATTCTCACTATAAAGAAAAGAGGCCAATCTGTTCAGTGTGCTTGCTAAAAAGAAGTGTCCTGCCTGGTGAGATAGACCACACTGAAATTATTTTTGGTTCAAACCTAATATTAAAGAAGAGGAAAACTCCTACCAAAACCATAGATTTGGAACATTCCTGATGGCAACTTATAAAAAAAGTTTTATATATGAATCACAGAATTCAGAATGAAAAGCCTATCAGTTTTAGGATAATGATACAACAACTTAATGGGTTCTCTCATTTTAGATATAAAACCTTATAGTAACATACTGTAGCTTCATTACAACGAAAGACCGTACCTCTGTAGACTCAGTTAATTATGAGAATTTAAATTTTAAGTGATGAATCCACAGGAAGACTGGATCATTATATTACTCAATGTATCAATCAAATTATTCATTATAGTTTACAAGGTGTGTCATGTTGAAGAAAAGAGGAGGCTAAGTTTTCCAGTTAATTCATTTAGAGTAGGAGCAAAGCAGGAAGTAGGAACAAAACTGATGCAAAACCTTTTCCACTTTAGAGTAGTTTGGGTCATGCTTTAATGACAGTGGGTGGATGATAATGATTAATAATCCTGATATGGGAATAATCTTCACATATCTGTTGGGTTTAACTGAATGCAAAAAACATATTTTATTATTTTATGGTAAAACAACCAGTGCCTGAAAACTAGACAAGAGATCTAAGCTAGGTAACTGTGCAATCCATGACATACTGTAACTACCCATTAACTTCACTGGAAAACAATTCATGTTTCTTTATGGAACTGTCAACCTAAATCATTTAAAGAAGTTACTCCATGCTACTTTCTCAGTCTTTTAACACAGCAGCAAATATTTCAGACACAAATTTCACAATATAATATTTTAATTGAGCAATTATTTTTAATACTTGGAAATAATCAGAATTTAGAAAACTTTAGTTATTTAATAAAATAACCTGGAAATGATAAACTTTCTGACAGTGAGAACAATCAACCAATGGAAAAGCTTGACCTCGGAGGTTGTGGGAGCGCTATCACTTGAGACTTTTAAGAAGAGATTGGACTCCCATCTGTCAGAAATGGTGAAGAGTCTCCTGCTTGGGCAGGGGGTTGGACTAGATGATCTACAAGGTCCCTTCCAACTCGGATTATCTGTTACATTCACAGCACAGACCAGCTATTTTTTAATGATAGTACTACAAATCTTAAAAATATTGAAATGCATATTACTAGTATATTGAAGATTATTAAATGTTTTTTTCTTTAATTAACAATCTTTTATTAAAGAGTATCTGTGTATTAATATGTTTAATGTAGTTAAAGTGTCTTCTCCTTCCATGATGTGGATGACCACATCCCCTCTATGCTACTCTTGCAATTCTTCATAATTTAGAGAAATCCAGTTATGTACATGGTTATTGTAGGTGCTGCTTTGTGATATCTTCTTTTCTATTGTTCCTTCTAACCAAGTACATTATATAGAGATGTCTCTATGACTGAATTATTTAAGTTTTCTTTAATTGATGGTCATTATGAATCTTTCCCCCCCTCTGGCACCTATAGGACTTTAATATTTTGTTACTCAAAGGGATTCTCAAGATTCTTCTTAAAACCATATTTCAGTGGCCTTCAGACTGTTCTTAGTCTCCTTGGACGTTCTCCATATTTCACAATTATAAAGGAGGATTGACCAAATAAGGCTTTTGATCATTCTAATTCTTCATCTTAAATCTATTTTCCTTGAGATTAGAATATTTTTAATTTCAAAAACAGCATTCCTGGCAATTTTTATTTGCTTCTTTACAACACCAGTTTTTTAAAATCATCTTCTAAGTTTAAGTTTCCAAAATTGTCAATTTTTTTGTCTTGTTAAAGAAAGGTATAATTGATTGTTTTTATTTTATATTTTCACTTTTGGGATTTTTGTATTAAAATGTAACCTACACTTTTCACTAGTCTCAGGCTCTTTAGTTCCTCTTCTATTCCATTAGGAGCATTGTACCATCTGTATATCTTAAATTATACATTATTTATTGACAATCAAAGTGAAGTTCTTAATTTTATCAAATATTTTTCAGTATAGGCACTGAAAAGAGGAGGTGCAGAATATGCCTCTAGTGTTCTTCCTTCTGAATTAAAACTTCTTTGAAAAGTTTCCTTTAGTCTCAAAACAAAATTGTTCCCAATGTAGGTATATTATAAACCTCCTTAGAATTAATCATTATACCTAACATCTGATCTCCGAAGAATAATTATCTAGTGATGTGATGATCTTACTGTCCTGCTTGATATAGAAAAAAATCCCAGATTTCATACTGAAAGGTGTGAAGTAATCAATGCCTTGTACTCACAATGCCACAGATATACTGCATACTAGGAAACTACTCAGAGAATTCAAGGTAGACTAACAAAGTACATAGAAATGTCACAAATGTAATAATTGTGGTTATTAAATTATATTAATACTAATCAAAGGACACACAATTCTGGTGTATGTATTAACCTGTTCATACTGAGCAGATTTCTTTTTTGATCTTCCACTATTATTGCTACCAGATAGTCTTCAATATCTTGAAACAAAGCCATAGATTAGAAACCAGGAGACTGTGAGTTCTAGTCCCATCTTAAGTATGAAAGCTGGCTGGGTGACTTTGGGCCAGTTATTCTCTCAGCCCAACTCACCTCACCAGGTTGTTGTTATGGGGAAAATACATAGAGGAAGGAGTAATAAGTATGTCTTAATACTTAAGTAGCAAGTAGGAGCAAGTTGTAATGCACAGTGGGTTACTCAACCCAGCAGTCAAGCTTTGTCCATAACAATGTTCAGTGTAGATTTTGGCTAATAAACCAGTTAGCAGAGATTGAAGCCCATGAAAAAGAAATGATTGTTTAATTTTGTGAGCAAGTTTGTCAAGTGAGGAAGAGCCAAGGCCAGGACATTACAATTGCAGTTTGCTTGTATTAGACAGAGTATGGCCTTCAGCAGCAGAAAAGCTGTCATTGGAGGAAAAAAAGGAACTCGGCTGAAATTGCAACATAAAATTCCAATTGAGAACAGTCAGAAGTTTCTGCTGTAGGACAATAAATCATCCCCACAGATGGCAAGAGAGAAACCTAGTCAAAGACTGCAGCTCAGGCATTAGTGCTGAGGAATGGAGGAAACCAAGATCTCTCTAAATCAAGTGGCAGTGATGTAAAAACCATTTACAAGATATAGAAAAAAGTTATGGGAAAAGAAAGAAGGAACTTTGCAAGGTTCATTTACAAGAAGAATTTAAATGGCAAGTTAGTCCTAAATATACAGTGATGACAAAACAAGGAAAGGTATGAAAAAGGTGGAGCCAAATTTTAGTTTCTCAAATTAACAAGTTGATAAAGTATTTTAGTCAAGTTTACCTATTCTAATATAGTCTGGGAAAGCAGTCAAAGTTGAATCTGTAGGAGAGAAGACTAGCAGGGGGAGGAGTGAAGCAGGGAATTAGTTTAAAGTCTTTATGTAGTCAAAAGACGATGAAGTCAATCCCCCCTTGAATGCTGTTGAACCCCATCTAGTTTTACCCAGGGGCAAACTGTTAGTTTAAGAAGATTCCTATGTATAGGCATGAGAAATAAAGCAATAAACTGAAACCTTTATGTGCTGATCTGATTGTTTGCGTCTGACATTATCAATTCAGAGAAAAATAGGTAGTGGATGAACAATTCCTAAAAAGAAACTGAAAGTTAAAATTGGTTTTCTTCACATCTTTGTAGCATTAAAGAAAAAAAAATGCTCTTCACAAGCAACCACTCTGAGTATTTTCTGAATATTTTGTACCACCCTAAATCTGTAACAGGAAATATTTGTTCTTTATATAAATAAATTGTATTAATTTTACAATTAAAACAAACTAACAACACATACACAAATGAAAGAAAAGAAAAGGAGAAGAAAATAGAAAGAAAAAATAGAAAGCAATTAAAAACATTCTCATCTTCAACAGTTTGTAAGATCTCTTTTGTTTTAACCCTTAATTTATGCCATATACACACACCTAATCTTTACATATATCTATATATCACTGCTATGGGTTTATCCTATCCTCTTTTGCCTTATAGTGTAAAATTTATCTTTGGTCTATCCATTTGTACCAACAGTTCCAGCTATTGTAGTATATTGAGGTGTCTTTATTTTTTAGTGCCAGAGTTAATTTGTCCATTTCTGCACAACTTGAGATTTTTTGAATGATCATTTCCTCTGAAGGAACCTGAGGCTGCTTCCAACATTGGGCAAAGGCTAATCTGGCCACTGTCAAAATGTCTATTATTATGTATTTTGCTTTTTTTGATATTTGTCAAAGATCCCTAACAAAAAGGAGTTTGGTTTGTATTCTATCTGTTCTTTTGTCATTTCTTCCAGCCAAATTTTAATTTTCTGCCAATATTTTTGAGCTTCCGTACAAGACCACCACATATGGAAAAAAGTTCGCTCTTTTTTTTTGCATTTCCAGCAATTCGGACTCATATTGGGGTGCATCTTCGCTAATCTTGAAGGAGGAAGGTGCCATCTATAAAACATTTTATAGGCATTTTCTTTATATGCTACCGATTTTGTAATCTTATTGTTTCTACCCCAGACCTTTTCCCATTCTGTTAAGGTGATACTACGTCCTACATTCCTACTCCAGGCAATCATGTTCCCTTTTACAATTTCTTCTTCCAATTCGATTTCTAATAAATAATTATAAAAAAAATTTTTTTTTTTTTTTGCCTGATCCTAATAAAATTTTATCTAATTGCTGGAGTTTATTGTTTATTGTTTATTCTTATCGATACAGCCTAATTTTGCATTTGGCTTTTGTTTTTTGTCAATGCATCACATTGCTACTCACCTTTTTTTTTCATAACTGTTATTACCATGCCAGGTATTCCCATCCTTTACTTGTGGCTTCATTTAGTTTCCTAAGTGAAGAATTTTGTATTTATCTTTACTGACTTCATTGTTACTTTTCAGCCCATTTCTTTAATCTCTCATGATTGTTTTGAATTTTACTTCTGTCTTCTTTGGTATTAACTGTCCTACTCTATTTTGTATCATCTGACATTTGTTCTGTCTTCTACCTGTCATTAGAAGACTGTTTTAAAAGTCTAGGATCAAGATCCAGTCTTGTGGCATCACACCCAATATCATTCCAATATGATGAAATAGTCATTAGTGAATATTCTTCAAGTGCAATTTTGAGTGTTATTGTATGCATCAACCTGTCATATTATCTCGTCCAGTCTTACCCAGTCTGCTAATCAAATATTTTCTGTCCTTTTATCAAATGTTTTGCTAAAATAAAGGAGTATATGCATATTGCCACAATCTATTAAGAAAGCTTAATACCAGAAAGTAAAACATAGCTGGTCTAGCAAGACTCTGCAAAAGACTTGGATTTTTCAGAAATCCATGCTGAATCCTGGTAACTGTTTTCAAGCGCTTATAAATTAATTAATTTTTCTACAAACAGAAATTTTGCTTCAATGGGTGGGAAACTTGATAAATACGCATACCCTATTGAACTGAATGTACCACTTCCACTGGTTTGAAAAATTTTGGTCATATTTGCAGGAATGTTGTTTTTCATAAACTGTACAAACTCTTTGAATAGGGCAATAACTTGATTATGTATTATGTTCTTTTGTTTAGAAAAATAACACAATTTTGTTCCCCAATGCCCTTAGTATCAAAAAACTACTCTGATAGATTTTGTTATGTTCATCTGTGTAAAGTCACATTTGATGTCTTTGATGTAACAATTATTTTGATTGATTTAAATGCTTCAGGTATTGAGCCAAGGCCATTTTAGTAAGTTGAATAATGACTAACCTGGGCTTTTGCCAATTTCTTTTCCAACAAATCTCTCTCTCGTTCTGTTTGCTGTAAGCGCTTATTAAGATCAACGATGTCGCCTTTCAAAGATGCCAGGGCTGCTAAGTGGAACTGTAACATATAAATGAAATGGAGCTAAAATTAAACACAATCAATAAAACATGTCCTGGTTGAGACAATGCAAGTGGTATAATTCATATATAAATTTTCATAATTTGGAATTTCAAATGAATAAATAGAACAAACAACATTACTCAAACAATTCTACTTTGTATATTTCCAGCATTAATATTTAATACATTTTCTTTTTTAAATTTTATAATTCATTTATTAACCAAATTTCTACTCTGCCACAATTTAGGGACTTTTGAAAGCTGAGATTGGTTACAAAAAGCAAGTAAAACATTCACTGATAACAGCAATAAAAATGTTATAGCAACACCACTCAAACACAAAACAAATAAAAAAGTAAATATGGCATAATAAAATTAGGAAAAGTATTTGGAGTAATTCCATCTTTAAAAGCTTCTATAACATCAATGAAGAGGGGTAGTCTAATTAAAACTAGGAGGCCAATCCACTGAATTGGTTCCACTGGAAAAATGTAGCACTTCTAACTTTAGCCTCCTGGACCTTCCAAAAATGTGGGATCAGTAATAAGTTCTCTTTGCTTGATCTAAGTGATAGAGCCAGTAAAGGCTGGAGCAGACTGCATTGCACTTAGGCAGCAAGTCATCAAGGACTTGAAACAGGTGATATTCAGCAGATGCTGACCAGTTCTGGAGAACCAGTAGCGGAAATTTTGAGTAGTTCGGAGAACCAGCAAATACTACCTCTGACTGGAGATTTTACAGTATCCTTCACCAAGCCAGGCCCAAAGAACCAGTAGTAAAAAAAATTAAATCCCACCATTGGCTTGAAAGGTCAAAACCAACACCTTAAACTGTACCAGGAAACCAACCCGAACAAACTCTCAAGTTCTTGACCATCAATGAACAATTCTAATGCAACAGAAAATGCTAATATACCCACAGCAGCTCAGATTTATTAGGCTTCACCTTCAGCTGTTTTTTCCAGCCAGGGCCAGGTAGCTTTCAGGCACCAGAAAAGAACATCAACAACAGTGATGTACAACTAGATATCATCAGCATTCTCATGATACATTACCCCGTTGGATGACATCAAGCAATAACACTCACTCAGGGGCCACTTAGACAATCACTACTTCTTCATGTCACAGATTGGAACTAACCACTGAAGAAGGAGCAGGACCATTACAGGCCATTGTCTGTTATCTCCAACCTCTGCATACAGTCCAACAGGATACCATGATTGATGGTATAAAAAGCGACTGAAAGGTTCAATCTTGAAGGAGTTCACTATCCCAATCCAGGACTCCAAACCTGAACCTGATCAATCCACTTCCTCTAAAAAGCTGTGAAATTGGTTCACTACCACCAGTTCAACAACCTTCCCAACAAATTCTAGTAAAATGTGGGAATATGCTCCTCTTGTATAGTGTCTAGTGGAAATCACCTAAATCATAAAGGTTAGTTTACAAATCATAAAAATTAAACATAAAGATTAGTTCAGTCCCAATCTCAAAGTGAAAACAATGATCCGAATGGAAAAGAATGTGAAATCCAGTTGATACCAGCTGCTTAAATGCTCAACCTAGAAGTATGAGAATTATTCAAAATGGCAAGATGTAATGATTTTTTGTGGTTTTATATTTTTATTGCCTAGGTTACTGCTGTATAGGCAGGTGAACTGTCATTGAACTAACATTAACAAATGCTTCATTACTATTATTTATTATTTTCTTAGAAGCATACTACATTATGCTCTCTTAAAATGGTTACTTCATTATTCATTTATTTAATTAGATTTGTAAGTTAATTGACTTCCTGATTATTCTGGGCAGGTTACATCCAAGGACACAATTTGCCCATCTAGAAACAATTCTGATGCAACAGAGAATCCTGATTTATCCACAGGTCAGCTTAATTGTATTATTCACTATAAATGAATAAAACAATTTCAGTATAAAATGGCTGGTCTTTCTCAATAATATGTTATTGAGGAATTTAATGAACATACATATTCAAAAACAGCCAGTTTGGTTTACTGGTTAAAGCACCATGTTAGAAACTGGGGGACTGTGAGTTCTAGTCTTCCCTTAGCCATGAAATCATCTGGGTGAATTTGAACCAGTCACATTCTCTCACTCCTAGGAAGGAGAGGCAATGGCAAACTACTTCAGAAAAAACTTATCGCAACGACAAGGGCAGCTCCAGGAATCAAAAACTGATCTGAAGTCATCCTCTTGCCCCAAGATTCTCAATATGATTATTAGAGATGTGATGTTTTCATAAGGAGTCAAAGAAAAACATATACTTCAATACTTCTCAGAACTAAAGCCAATTTAATTAACTGAATTAGAGTATAACTTATTAACATAAGAGCAAATGTCACAAAGCTTCAGGGGAAAAAATCCTATCATCTCTTCACTGGAAAAAAATGAGCTATTTTTTTATACTTTCCTAAAACCGAATAAAGATAATTTATGCCCAGTATTGGTGAAAAATAGATATTGAAGATTTATGCTACTCCCAGCATTTATTCTTTATATGGCTGTGTGCTATCTCCACTTCTCTTCTCTCTATATACCAATGACTGCATCTCAAATGATCCATCTGTTAAAATACTGAAGTTTGCCGATGACACAACAGAGATTGGTCTCATTCGAGACAATGATGAATCTGCATACAGACAGGAGGTTATACAACTTGCCTCGTGGTGTAACCGGAATAATCTGGAACTGAACACACTCAAAACCATAAAAATGGTGGTAGACTTTAGAAGAAACCCTCCTATACTACCACCTCTTACAATATTAGACAACACAGTATCAACAATAGAGACCTTCCAATTTCTAGGTTCTACTATATCACATGACCTAAATGGACACCTAACATCAAAAACATCATCAAAAAAGCACAACAAAGGAAGTTCTTTCTGCGCCAACTCAGAAAGCTCAAAATGCCCAAGGAGCTGCTGATACAGTTCTACCGAGGAATTATTAGGTCTATCATCTGCATCTCTATAACTGTCTGGTTTGGTTCTGCAACCCAACAGGACAGACACAGACTTCAGAGGACAATTAGGACTGCAGAAAAAACAATTACTACCCACCTGCCTTCAATTGAGGACCTGTATACTGCACGAGTCAAAAAGAGGGCTGTGAAAATATTTACAGACCCCTCACATCCCGGACATCAACTGTTTCAACTCCTTCCCTCAAAATGACACTATAGAGCACTACACCAGAACAACTAGACACAAGAACAGTTTTTTCCTGGAAGCTATCACTCTGCTAAACAAATAATTCCCTCAATACTGTTCAACTATTTATAAAGTGTACACAACTATTACTGTTAATCTTCTCATCTCTCCTTATCACCCATCCCCTCCCACTTTACTGTTTCCTAGTATGATTTGATTATTGATTGTACCCTATGACTATCATTAAGTGATGTACGTTATGATTCTTGATTCTTAATGAATGTACCTTTTCTTTATGTATACTGAGAGTATTTACACCAAGACAAATTCCTTGTGCGTCCAATCACACTTGGCCAATAAAGAATTCTATTCTATTCTATTCTATTCTATTCTATTCTATTCTATTCTATTCTATTCTATTCTATTCTATTCTATTCTATTAACACTTAGACACCTTTAAGAAATCAGAGGAAACCAAAATGGTGAAGTAAAAGCACCTAGTGATCAGAGTGCACTGTATTTCTATTTTTATCTTACCATCTTTTTAAATTACTGGGTCCTATGCATAAAGAGGAGATTATAGCATGGAAAAGAGGAAGGAATGACCAAGAAAAATAAAGAATTCTGACATATAGGTATTCCTCAAACCTCTGAAGAAACAAAAAAAAAGATGATTTTTTTTTTAAATTTTAAATTTTAAAAAAAAGTGAAAATGAAAACTTAAATAATGACTGCAAGAATTATTACTCAATCATATCCTGCAGATGCATTAAATAGATATGATTTGCTGATAGTCCAGAGGAGGATCTTTTATTTATTTATTTATTTTTATTTATTTGTTTGTTTGTCAAACATGTACAAGATAACAAGTATGAACATAAACAAGAACAAAGGAAATACATACAGGTAAATGGGGACAGAAAGACGGGTGGTAGCACGCTTATGCACGCCTCCTTTAAGGACTTCTTAAGAATGGGGTGAGGTCCACAATAGACAGTTTGAGGTTGAAGCTGTGAGGGATTGAGCCTGTAACAATAGTTTAGTAGGGCGTTCTAGGTATTGACCACTCTGTTGCTGAAGTTGTATTTTCTGCAATCGAGTTTGGAGCAGTTTACCTTGAGTTTGTATCGGTTGTTTGCCCATGTATTATTGTGATTGAAGCTGAAGAAGTAGTTGATGTTACAGCAGACTATTTTGTGAACTATGCTTAGATTAGACCACAGGCGGCGCAGTTCCAGATTGTCCAAGCCCAGAATTTTGAGCCCGGAGGTATAGGGAATTCTATTGTGAGTGGAGTACTTTTCTCGAGAAACACCTCTGAACCCGCTCAATTGTGTTAATGTCCAATATATAGTGTGGGTTCCAGGTAGACAAGATGTATTCGAGAATTGGTCTGGCAAAGGTTTTGTATGCCTTAGTTAACAGTTCAATGTTGACGGAGAAGAAGCTTCGCAAAATAAGGTTAACAATTCTTAAGGCCCTTTTGGCAATGCTGTTACAGTGATCACTGTGGCTTAGATTGTTTGAGAGAAGTACTCCTAGGTTGTTGACAGAGTGAGGATCGTCTATGAGATCGCTTCTGCCTAACTTGTATTTGGTGTTCTGATTTTTATTGCCAATGTGTAGGACAGAGTATTTGTTAGTTGAAATTTGGAGTTGCCAATTGCACAACCATTCTGACACATAGTCAGGGTCGCTTTGCAGGGCAGCAGTGTTGTCAGTGGTGTTAAATAATTTTATGTCATCGGCGAACACGGCTGCTTTTAATGTTGTCACATAGGTCACCGATGTCAAGCAGAAAAAGTATGGGTCCTAAGTCACTCCTT